TTCCATTACATCATTAAATAAAGACATATGCCATCCAAATGCACTAACCAGAAGCTTAGACATGCTGGCTCACTGTCATGATCCAGTGGAAGGCTGTGTATTCTGAAGTTCTTCTCCCATGGGACAGGACTCCTTGGAGTGACAATGTAGTACCCTGGTATCAGTAACACACAGCAAAGGACCGTTACCTTGTCACTTGACAAAAGGTGCAACAGGACCTAGGCTGTTACCTGACAGATTCCACAGGCTGTTACCTGACTGATTCCCCAGGGTGTGATCAAAGCTGGGTCCGGTTAGCGGAGGGAAAGTAGGGCCATTGACCCTCAACCAGCCCCCCTCCTCACCAGAGTCCTGCCTCCAGAAACACAGGCCTGCCTCAAAGGAGCAGCTGGCAATGTCCTCGTCTGCTAGAAGACATGAAGATGCTGTAACTGTTGTATAAACTGAAATTCTCTCCAGTTCTTGAGCAGCCTATTCACGTGGTAGCCCCCCACCCGTTGGACATTACAGTAACTCACTAGAAAGGTCTGTGATGTTAGCTGCCCTGTAGACAGCCTTGAATCCACCAAGACTGTTAATAAAATTGGAGGAGAACTCGGCAGTGACCTCATGGGAAAGGAGCCACACCTCCCCAGGTGAGTGTCCCGACAGCGTGTCTGAAACAGACCATAAATAAACCACTGCATCTGTCCATTTTTAATCAATCACTCATTCAGTACCTCACCAATCAAAAACCTAAAATGATATATTTTAGGTGTCTTCATAAACAATAGAAAATCATTTGAAAGACACAGCAGGGTCTTCAACCGTAAAAGATTCAAGAAACAGATTGAATTCGGGATTTTTTTTTAATATACTTACATGTCAATTTCTTGGTTTCTCCTGTTCCCTCATAAAGTTTCAGAACATCTATATCTTCCTCGGTTTCAAATGACGGGAAGTTTATTGCTATGACAAGTCCTTCCAGAACTCTAAAAAAATAAGCATAGAATCTTTAAAAACCATTTGAATGATGTCAATGAGTCCTCATGCAAGCGTGTTCTATTAGCTGCAGAATGTGCATGAAGAGGTGTGGCTGAGGAGGTGCAGTTAGCTGGGCGTGAGAAGCACCCCGTACCTTATGATCCAGCGACACGTTATACTGTTGTCATATGGGAGAGGGAAGTTCTGAGACTGGAAGCTTCCAGTCTGGCCCAGCAGCAAGAACTGCTTATCACACACCGTTGCTGTTGAAATAAGATCTTTACAAACCAGAGCTAGTCATACCAAACCTGACTCTACTTAGAATTAAGCAGCAATCAATCAAACACACCACAGAGGTTTGCATTTTCATCCGAGCCGTCAGGACAGTCGTCTGCTCCATCGCAGAACTGCACCCTTGGCACACAATGACTGCCGTCACTGCAGGTCATGTGATCAGCTGGGCACTGCACTGAAATCACACTGACACTCAGATCTGCAGACATGTCAATGCACATCAATGCTGCAGCACGCACCAATATGATAGAATGCCCTACATATGAGTTTATAGTTTATTTCCTCACAAACATACGTGGGTCACAGGGGACTTATACCAACAGCCTTGTAGCGATTGTAAAACTACCAAAAAGTCACAGAGAGGCTGAGTAGGAGAATTTCACACTGCATGACATGCACCAAAATCTACTAAGAGCAGAATATATTAATTAATTTGATGATGTTAAAATTGGTATCATCATTCCTTCATGTGCTTCACACACAAAAAAGAACATGACAAAGTTTCAAAATGATGCCATGATATTACTTTCCTTAGCAGAGATTAATTACGGTCAACAAAATTAAATCCTGCCCACTGACTCCCGCACCCCATGCTGGTGAGCAGATGATTATATATCCGATGATAACATTGGTCACATGACATAACTACCGTAAAGCATGAAGTAACTGAGCAAGAAAATTACAAAAACAGTTAAACCAATATGGCTTTACAACGCATAAAAAATGCAGCTTACGTGTTACTGCATCAAGCTTTCCTGTGGTGGTAGGCAGGTGAGCTGTAGGGGAGGCTTGAGCTGTTGTAGTCAGTGGGTGTCCTGTAGGGGGCCATTTCTCACCTTTGCAGAAGTAAACTGCAACTTTAACATACACACTCAAGCACACACACTTTACTCCAACACATTTCAGTATATCTCTTTAAAATGACCCACATTCAAATCTAAAATACTAAGGATGACAAACACATCTTATCCGTGACCTGCAAGACAGCACCAACCGTGGCAGCCATCACATAACCATTGTTATTTTATTTATTGTGATACTGTATGCTCTTAATTTATACGCTCTGTTCTGTGTTTTATTTGTGCGCAGTGGAATTACACACAGAGCCATATTTTCATTGCATAGTGGAACTGGCTATTTACTGTCGACATGACAAATATCCTCTTGAATCTTGAAAGTAACGGCAGTGATCCGGTACTGGTACCTGTCACGCGGATGCTGCCCCCATCAATACGCAGCCCCCCCGGGCCGCCTCCCTCTGTAGCCTGGACCCTGCGCACCAGCTGCTCCTGTGCATCCTCTGAACCCACAATCCCGTAGAAAAGCAGGTCAAAGGTCACCACCACGCTCCTCCGGCTGTAAGACCGTATCCTGTTTTCACTTCTTCTCTCAAAGAGGGAAAAGGGTAACACTTTACTTAAAGCTGTCATCTATAATGCACTATAGATACCCTGATAATGCATTATAATGGTCAGTATAAGAAATAATGAAGCATCACAGCATCTTCTATTGACAGTTGTTATAGTGACAGGCAATATAGTGTTGATTATAATACAATAGATGAAGACCTAATCTATAACGCTTTATAGATACCTTCATTTTGCATTATAATGGTTGGTATAAGAATTAATCTTATTCATCTTTTGACAGTCATAAGGCATTATAGTGTTAATTGTAATGCTTCATAAGCTCATTTATAATACACTGCAGATGCTTTAATAATGCACTATCATGGTCGGTATAATCAATTGTTTGTTTATAGCATATTATGAATGTATTGTGTATTATGAATTATGAATGTGTTCATAGATACTTACAGACATGGCATTCATAGAAAGTGTTACCAGTACAATGATATTTGAGTCAGTAATTTTCACATCGCATGTATCCATTTTCAGAAAATGTCTCAGTGTGACAGAAGTGTGGAGCTGTCATGTGACCTGTAGCTCCAGTGTGACAGAAGTGCGGAGTATCATGTGAACTGTACTTCCAGTGTGACCGACGTGTGGAGCTGTCATGTGACCTGTAGCTCCACTGTGACAGAAGTGTGGGGCTGTCGTGTGACCTGTAGCTCCAATGTGACAGAAGTTATGTGACCTGTAGCTCTAGTGTGACAGAAGTGTGGAGCTGTCGTGTGACCTGTAGCTCCAGCCATGGAGAGCATAGGCACGCAGATGTTAGGTTTCACCTGAAGTGCTGGACTACGCAGGCTCTGAACTGCTCCGCCAGCAAGCTCCCCGCATAAAGCTCTGAGACCTGCAGACGAAACAAAATGGAAGCCTGAGGGAGGGAGATGAGGAAGATGAAGACGAGGAAGAGGCAGGGGCTTCATTACTCACCAGATGCTCTACATCAAAAGCTAGGGCTTTAAACGGCACTGAGGACGTGTTACGCAGCTCCTCAGTGAAGCCGGTGCTGTTCACAATGGTGAATTCCCCTCTCAGTACTGTTGAGCTTCGGTCCAAATGGCTCTGGGTTTCTAATTTGGGGTGGGGGAGGGTTCAAAATGATGACCACTTTGAGTAACTCCAACGAAAACATTTACATGATACAGCTGAATACGTATAGAGGTACAGATATAGAGGTAAACCATACAAGTGAACATGAGCATCTGGAGACTGTCGAGGAAACAAAGGATGAGGCCGTGAGACAATGAGGGAGGAAGAACCGGTCGCAGGCTTACCGTCAGTGTGCAGGGCCAGCCAGCCGACGATCACGAGGCCCACACAGACGAGCAGCTCAGCCAGGAAGAGCACGGAGAGCGAGGCCTCGGTGAAGGACAGAGCACGCCTTCCTCTGGCCATCCTCCTGCACTGGTGCCGTTCCACAGGACTGCTTTCACACTCCGGTTAAGGGTGCCGTTTCTATCAAGCTCATTCGTTTGGTCCAGAACTTCGTACTCTCTGCCATTCTGTCCAATGAGAATCAACAATTGCCTTGAGTGATTATCAATGTCAATAACAGATACACACGTATCCGCAGATAGACTTTGAACAGATCTGCCACTCCTGATCATTGTACAATAACAGCTGGCAGGGTGATTGATCCCTGCACCTTTCCACATCGGGCATCTCATTCGGAGATTTACCATATTTAAAATTAACAGTGTTTATTAATATTTTATCAAAAACCTATAGCCCTATAGAATTGCTGAAATTCATTAGGACTAGATGATAATAAATTAAGGTACTAATACATATTGAATGCCAGTTATAAAGTGGTGCATTATTGTTGATTTCTTTGTTTATCAATTTCATATTATTGTGCATTTAATAAATGTGTATATATAATGAACAATATATGAAATTATTAAATTATGGTCACTTCACCTCAACAGTGACTAAAAGCTGTGATTGTCACCAAGCCTGTAAAGCTCTATCTGCTGTCCTCTGTATGTCATTAATCTATGAACTGTGTTTACACGGTGCGCTTCCTGGACCGGGCCAAGCGGACACCCACGTAACACCTGGCTATGCCAGATAGATGTTCACTTCAGGAGGGTGGGACTATATCACGTGTCAGCCTAAGGGGGGGAGGGGGGTTCGCCAACTAGGATCGCGAGGTGTTTCGTCCTGTGGTGCGCACGCTGACGTGCTGTGCCAGTGCATAATCCCAAAACTGACCTGACCTGATTCCTGTAACACTGAAAACAAAAAACTGCTTTCTGTCTTAAGACTTTCTTATGTAAATCAGAAAACAGGCCAGAAAGACAAATATTAAGCCACAGAAAGAGAAGACAGATATTCAGGTCAACTCAGATTTATTCCAGATGTTCACATGAAACGCTCCATCTCGTCTCTGGTTCTGTGACATCTGTGGCGGAAGGTTCCGGAGTATCCCGGAGCTCAGAGTCTGCGTGTCCTCTTCTTCCTGCCCTCGTGGAGCCTCCGGCGCCTGTGCTTGCTGCCTTTCTCGGAGCTGCCCCTCAGGCCTGGCTGCCCCTCAGCCTCCAGGCCGATGTCAGCCAGCAGGGAGGGCAGAGCCTGGCCAGAGGGGCCGAGCGGGGGGGCCCACTGGGGTAACTCCAGGGCTGAGCAGGGCAGAGCGGGGAGGAAGCTGCACAGCAGAGAAGGGAGGGCGCAGTGCTGGGGAGGAGGCGCGGCCAGTGAGTAATGAGAGACCTGCCCACACACCTGCAGCACAGGTGACATTCATAATCAGCATCACTGTGGCCTAATGACCTGAACTGTGTTTAGGCTGCCTGGCTCTGCTGCAGTGTGAGCATCACAGGCGATGCTGCTTCCTCACCATGTTCCAGAGCAGCTGCTCCTGGGAAGGGCTCTGGCTGGGGGGGGCACTGCCCTGCAGCACAGAGGATTCTGGGTAGGGAGTCATCGCTCTGCTCAAAGAACAGGAGAAGGCAGTGTTCAGAAGCTGGGGGATGAACAATCACACACTACTGGGTTGAACAAACATGATCCACATCCATCAGCCCAGTTCCACGCGTGACCCACATCCCTCAGTCCGATCCCACGTTTCCCATCTCTTTACAGTGTCTTTCTTAGCTGGGCTGCCCAAACCGCCTATCACTGGTCACCTGTGCACTGGGTGTGTGGAGCTGCAACTACCACCATCTGCTGTAGGAGGTGTTGCTCCACCACTGCCACGGAGACTCCCTGGAACACAAGAAGAGTAAGGAGGATACTAGGAGTGAAACCTCACCACAACCCCCAATACAGAGCTGGAATTCTTAGCCATGATACCATAATGTACCTGTGTACTCTATTATTATAATGAGCTGCACACTCGTGCTATCAAAAACCACAGGCATTTAAAAGGACCAGACCGTATGCATTCCTCGTACACACGACCATTAGGTGTAGGCACAGTCAATCTCTGCTTTAAGCATTCGTGCAAATGTGTGCAGCGCACCGTATCTATACTGCAGCTTGATCGGCCGTCCGTACAGCCAGGTCCCGTTGAGCAGGGCGATGGCATACGGGACGGCCTCCTTGTGCTTATAGCACACAAAGCCGTATGATTTCTGGCGGCCCTCCTTGTCCCGGGCGATGGTGACCCTCTCCAGCGGACCGGCCTGAGTGAAAACTATCCTCAGAACCACGACAGAGACATGCGCGAAGCACACAGCAAGACCCGCTATTTATTCTCATTCCTCGTATTCAAAGATGAGATTAAAATATGTATTTTATAGCTGTAACTATCCCGGCATTTCACTTTTAAGGATGAGCAGAATGCTATGTGATGTGGTGCCGGTAGGTGTTACCGCCCGGAATAAATTTCTAGCCATCTTCACAAAGTCTTGCCGGTAAACGGTGACATTTAATCCAAACAACGTCGTCTAAAATAGGTGCATAACTGAGATGCCACTAAGCCTTGAGGGTGTTGATACCTGCAGAAACAACTCGAACAAAATTTCCTCTTTCACCGAACTGCCTAAATTACCCACAAACACAGTCTTGTCGTCGTCACAGTGTTTATCTAACATAGCTGCACCGATCCGCAGTTCAGTCCCAGCTGCACCTTACAAACTGCGGTCTAGTTTTGCTGCGCTATTGCCACAGCGATTGCCGTAAATTCAGTTTATAAGCGTCGTTGCGACGCTGAAGGACACGATCGTGACGCCAGGGGGCGCCGCATGCACGGGACCATTAACTAAGCAGTGAGATAACTACTTAATTGTTGCAAGGCAGAGATGCATTTACAGAGATGTACAACGAAAGAAGGATTTCTCTCTAGCTGAATGCGCAGAAATTATTATATGCAAGCAAGCAAGCTGGTGTTCTGCTATATGCCAATCATATAGTTCAGTTAAAGACTTGGCTCACTGGAAGTGGATTAGGGACTTGATATTTTCACATAGTCTAATGGTCAGCTTTTGGTTTTCATTCTTGTTTTTCTTTCCGGAGCTGGAAGGTTTTTTTAGATATCCTGACTGGAAACCCCACAAGAAGTTCAGGCAGAATTTCCCCCGGGCGATTCACTTTATTTAAATAGGTTTTGAAAGTTGAACTTAACTTAATGGATTTGTTTTGACATGGCGCCTTTACCAGCAGAAACCTCTTTGACTTTAGCTCAGCTGGTGCTTGTAGATTGCAGTTTATTTGTGTGTAAATAGTAAATGTAATTCTTAGACTTTCGTCTAACCTGCTATAAAAAGGCATTTCTCTCTGCACCTATAAACAAGACATGTCAATGTACGTACGTTCATTTGTCTGCTGGTTTGTTTCGGTGCTGATGTTACGTATACGATCAAGAAAAATCTGGGATACTTTATTAAAATTGAAACAAACAAATTCAACTTCTCTTGAATCAGGTGTGTTAAATGAGATCGAGGGAACCCAAAATTATGCAGGGCTGGGGCACTGCAGGACCGGAGTTGGAGATCCCAATCTTAAATGGTGCAAGTGGGGGGGGGTCATTAGGGGATGAGGGAGGCACAGCATGTTTTATTTTGCATAACGTACACAAGAGCCCATGAATCTTAAAAAAATATCTTGTAATTGTGAGGTGCAAGATTCTTTCATCATTAGAATTGCTTTTTTCATTTTCTTTGCGTTAATCATACAGCCAGTCTGTTAGTGCGGGATAATCATCCAGTGAACTGCTTTCCGTGTCCCTAGCACTTACAATGAACGCTGTATTAATTGTACTTGATACATCGGCTTTAAAAGTTACTTTTTTGAAGTACAACTTATTCTTTATTCTCTCAGAGCAACAGGGAGGCAGTCAAAGAACCCCATGTGGCTCTAGAGTTGTGGGTTTCCAACCCCTGGTCCAGATCATGAGGCTCAGAGGGCGGGAAAGAATTCTTTACTGAATCTGACACCAATGGCCCTTGGGGAAGAGGCGTGGTCTGACACAGGAGGCGTGGCCAGTGGCTGACAGCAGCAGCAGAGAGGGGCAGGCTCTGAAGCCACTCCCACTTCCGGCTATGGTTTGTAGACATAAGACACAGAGGTGTAGATGTATGAGAGCCGTCCTGAGAAGCGTCAGCACAGGAGCTGCTTACCTTTTTCTTACAGGTAAGACTCTGCCTTCCCCCTCCCCCTCCCACCAGAGCTGTTTGTGTGTTGTGAGCAACGGGGGCAGGATCACTTTGCTGCAGGAGTGAAACTCCAGCAGGACTTTGGAAGTGTGTGAGACTTGCGTGGAAAAAGGCTGGGAAGATCGGGTTTCCTGGGCCGGGCAGAATTTGAGTTGCAGGAAAAAACAACACTGATTTGATTATTCTCACCACCACGAGGAAGATTAATGAAAGTTTGGATCAGGATATGAGGATGACATGGAATACTGTTTGGTAAATGATTTGTTTGCTGCAGCACTGTTTTGCTTCTCGATATGTCCCAAATAACCTGTGGAACAGGTTTGGAAAGCAGATAGAAATTCTGTGTGTAGGTGACTTAATGCTCATGCGGGCCTTGGAAACAAATGACTAAATAAATCCATCAGTGTTGCTGCTCCATTACAAACTTGTTGGACCACATTCTTCATTTTTCTTAAGTTAGATATTTGGGGGGGGCGGTTGGTGTATTTGGGTCTAGCAGTCACTTGGTGGGGTTTTCCATCTGACAAAAACCAGCACTACTGCCCCGAGGACAGTTTGTGGCTGTGAAGTGGACATACTTTGCCCCGGCGCTTTCCGGGAAATGGAGTGGGTGAAGTGCAAGAGCTCATCCGAGCGTTTGTGGGGGAGGTGATGGTTTTGAAAGTTAAGCTCTCTCATGTTTTCCTAGAAGCTACTGCCCACACACAGGGGTGGCGGGGGAGTCGGCACTGACAGACAATCATTCAGCTCATTTCTGTCTTTGATGGATTTGCTTGAGGAGTTTATTTGAGGGTTAGGGTTAAGGAACATTCCCGGATAACAGATTCAGTATAACAACAACACATCTTTCACGTTCATCTCCATCCAGTGATTCATTTTGTGTTTGTACCTCCTTTCTTTTTAGTTTCTTTTTCATTTATTTGTTTTTTTAGTCTGGGTGGGGTTTGTTATGTGTAACTTTCCACCCCTAGCTTCCGATGTTTGTTACAGTATAGATTCACAGTATAACCTCCTGTGTTACAGCATAGACTACAAGTATAATCTGTGTTACAGTATAGATTTACAGTTACCTTGTGTTATAGTATAGACCCACAATACAGCCTTGTGTGTTACAGCACAGATGCAGTATAACCTGCTGTGTTACAGCACAGATGCAGTATAGCCTGCTGTGTTGTAGTACACTCACAGTATGACCTCCTTTATTACAGTACAGACTCACTGTATAACTTTCCGTGTTACAGTAGAGGCTGAATGACCCATCATCGTAATAATACTCACGCTGGCTCACCACCACACAGTGTCATATTGCTATGGTCACTTAGTTCTCTCTTTTTCCCAGGCTGTCATTCTTGATCATTCCAATGCTGCCCTGGATGCTGGTTCTGCTGGTTTCCTTTGCCCTCAGCAAAGGTAAGGCAGGATGTTCTCACTGTCATAGTCACGCGAGGGTTTGCACCCAGACGTTAAAAGTCTATGAAGTACCTGCTGTTCTTCCCATATGCAGGAGATGTATGTAGGCACGTGTCCTGACTTGCTGCCCTTATTCCCCAGGGCAGGCCAGTGAGTGTGTGAACTTCACAGACCTCGGCATTGCTGACTCCATTTGGGGGACCAAGCTGGAGGTGAAGCTCATTCTACACACACGCCAGAACCTAAACTGTGGCTACCTTCTCCAACACGAAAATCTGACCTCCCAGCCACTACTCAACATGAGCCGCCCCACCACCTTCATCATCCATGGCTACCGGCCCTCAGGCGAGCCCCCGGCCTGGCTTCTTGATGCTGTTCACCTACTGGCTGCCCAAATGGACATTAACATCATCCTGGTGGATTGGAACCGTGGTGCCACAAACATCAACTATTTCACGGTGGTCAAAAACACGAAGAAAGTTGCAGAAAACGTCACCGCATTCATCCGGAACATGAAGGTTGTGGAGATGTGCCAGTGTCACTGTCTGTGTCTACGTTGCTGGTTTCAGTGTCTGTGTCACTGATATCACCATCTGTGCTGCCGGTCTTCGTGTCTCTGTTGCTGGTCTCCATGTCTGTGCTGCTGGTCTCACTGCTATTGTCTCTTGTCTCCATGCCTGTGCTGCTGGTCTCCATGCCTGTGCTGCTGGTCTCACTGTCTGTCTACTGCTTCAGGACCACGGTGCTTCTCTCAGCTCCATTCACATGATTGGAGTCAGCCTGGGGGCCCATATCTCTGGCTTTGTGGGAGCCAATTTGACAGGGCAGATCGGCCGGATTACTGGTAAGTGGTTTGAGCAGAGGCATCTCTCCTTGATCACACAGCTGGTCTTCAGCCTGCTTGAATGTCAACTTTCTCCTATAGCCCTGGACCCGGCTGGACCGCAGTTCAATGGGAAGCCATCAGAGGAACGTCTTGACCCAAACGATGCCCAGTTTGTAGATGTGCTGCACACAGACATCGATGGTAGGGTCAGTTGAATGATTCGTGTGCAATGTAGGGGGTGGATGCTGGCTGTGAATGGGACTTCATGGTCTATCTTCCTGTGTTCCCAGCCCTGGGCTACAGAAACCCTTTGGGCCACATAGACTTTTACCCCAACGGAGGAACTGACCAACCTGGCTGCCCTAAAACCATCTTCGCAGGTGAGACATGTTTATGCTTGGCAGGACTGGAATGACATCATAACCAATTGTGTTTATGCTCAGCAGGACTAGAATAACATGCAACCAATCATTTGCTCCAGAGCATGATAGCTGTTTGGTTTTCCAGTCATAAGACCCAGCTACAGTCATGTGAAAAAGAAAACACTCCCTCTTTCAATTCTAAGGTTTTATGTGTCAGAACCTAAATTAAAAAATCATCTGGGCTGGTTTCCTGATAACAGTGACTCAGCATCTTACGAAAACTCTAAAAATATGTCTTACAAAAGGTATTTGTTTTCTTATGTATGTTTCCCGAACAATCTCTTAGAGATTGCTCATGGGAGAGCTTCTTAAGTATGAGCTTAATAGTTGCGGGAACACCTGGCTGGTTGACATCTATGGCTAGAAAATTGATGATTCCATCCATGCAGCAATTGCTTCTCTGCCGCATGAGAGACAGTGGTGTTCTTTATAAATATAATACTGCAGGAATCCTTCAAAATAATGCAGTAACCAAAACTGGGGAAAAGCTAAAAAATAAAATACAAAATTAAACAACCAGAATCACCAAATTTTAAATATGATTTTCACCAATTGGGTGCAAGAACCCACCTCCCCAGATTGCAGTATCGCCATTTTATTTTTATTTGTTCTAGAAAACACCAATATGTGTGCATGTCATTGATATTGGGACGAGCAATGGCACAATAGCTGAAAGATAAGTTGCGTTACTGTCTATATAAACATAAGAGAATGTCCTATGTGCTTTAGTATTGACTACTAAGGACCATTCCATGGTGCTTTTTTGGGAAAAATGTATTAGACTTACATTAGAATTAGGTGATCAGTGGTCATTGTCAACACACCACAGCACACAGTGCGCAACAATGAAATGTGTCCTCTGAATTTAACCCATATGTGACTTTCGTGACATAGCAGGGGGCAGCTAATTCAGCGCCTGGGGAGCAGTGCTTGGGGGCGGTACCTTGCTCAGGGTACCTCAGTGGTGCCTTGCTAGTCGGGGATTCGAACCTGCAATCTTTCAATTACAAGTGTGCTTCCTTAACCATCAAGCCCCCACTTGTAAATGAACCTGCAGTGTCGACTCTTATCAACCTCATGAACCAAACTTTTGACGTATGGTGACTTTGGCACATTAGAGAGGTGTGTGCATTCCAGGGGGGTTGGAAATTGGGGAACACGCCCACCGCAACATCGGCAGAACCTTCCCAGTTAATAAATTAATGAATAAAAACATAATCAGCACCATGTTCCTTATCTTTCATTATGAATCTGTGCATTACTGAGGCCAGTTCACCGCACAGAGCGCAAGGATGAAACCTTACAAAGATTGTGGTCATGTATCAGACATTAACAATGTTACTCTTATTTTAAATGAGCAGTGTGAGCTGACAACAGCGAGCTGAGAGAATAACCTTATGAAAGAATATCTTACAGAAGATATACTTAACTAGGAACGTTTCGGGAAACTCTTGGAGCGTTGAGACAACTTAAGGATAGAAATTACGTCGACGTATAGTATTAAGATGGTTTCAGGAAACTGGGCCCGGGTCTTCAGCAGGTCATAGAATTATTTAAATCCAACCTCAGGTGTAAAACATAGATCAGACTCCACCATGTCATTATTTATTCAACACAATGGAAAAGGCATGTATGAAAAACTAAGTACACCATAGGATTCAAGAGCTTGTTGAATCACCTTTAGCAGCAATTGCTTTTCTGTATGACTTTCTGTATGATATCATCGTTGCTTGAGGAGTTTATTTGAGGGTTAGGGTTAAGGAACATTCCCGGCAGTGATCACATCGTTGTGGAAGAATTTTGGCCAACTCTTCTTTACAACGTCACTTCAGAGTATTGAGGTTTTTGGGCATTCGTTTATGCTCAGCTCTCTTCAGGTTCTGCTACAGCATTTCAATTAGGTTGAGGTCTGGACTTTGGGCCCTTGGAACACCTTGATTCTTTTCTCTTTCAGCCATTATGTTGTAGATTTGCTGGTGTGCTTGGGATCTTTGTCCTGTTGCATGACCCAATTTCAGCCAAGCTTTAGCTGTTGGACAGATGGCCTCACATTTGACTCTACAGTAACTCGATAAACAGAGGAGTTCAGGGTCAACTCAATGACTGCAAGGAGCCCAGGTCCTGTGGCTGCAAAACAAGCTCAAATCATCACCCCTCTACCACCGTGCTTGACAGCTGGTATGAGGTGTTTGTGCTGATATGCTTGTGCATAATGCATGTGGCACTGTGTATTATGGCCAAACATCTCCACTTTGATCTCATCTGTCCAAAGGACATTGTTCTAGAAGTCTTGTGGTACAATGGAACAAGACTTTGGAATTTCCGTCTGGATCAATAAACTACTATTAGTGGTTTGTTCAGATGCAACTTTGCAGACTTAAGCCGCGCTGCCATGTTCTTTTTAGAGAGAACAGGCTTTCTCCTGGCAACCCTTCCAAACAGGCCATACTTGTTCAGCCTTTTTCTAATTGTACTGTCATGAACTTTAACATTTAACATGCTAACAGAGGCCTGTAGAGTCTGAGATGTAGCTGTTGGGTTTTGTGCAATTTCTCTGAGCACTGCACGGTCTGACCTAGGGGTGAATTTGCTGGGACATCCTAAGGACCAGATGATGTTTATTTTTGACCCGACACGTAAAACCTTAACATTGAAAGAGGGTGCACTCTCTTTTTCCGCACGACTTTAGATGTTAATTTGTTTCGTATATTTTTAGCAAGACCGACTTGATGTTGAAACCACTTCTTCTTTTGTGACAGAGCTGTTTAAAACACAAATAGAGACACAAATGTGTGTGAGCTTAACCCCCACAAATTCAGCACCAAAGCAGGACCTTGACCGTGCTCCTTCTCTGCGTCTCAGTATAACTGGTTCTGCTTTCCTTCGCGCAGGGAAATCCTACCTTCAGTGTGACCACCAGAGATCTGTCTACTTGTTCCTCAGCTCCATGAACAGAACGTCAGCATGTAACATCACCACCTACCCCTGTGCTTCTTACAATGACTTTCTCGATGGAAAATGCCTCAGCTGCTCTGAATTCTTCCCCCAGGGATGTCCGGTCCTTGGTGAGTCCTGTTCTGCGCAGCTTTAGCATGTCTCTCCATTAAGGTTTTCTTGGTTCTTATTTTTGGTGCTTGTTCTGCCCAGGTTATTACATCAGTGAGTGGAAGGACGTCCTGTTGCAACTGAATCAGACAACAACCTACTTCTCTACCACCAGCAAGCTACCATATTGCAGTAAGTGGATTTTGAGCAGAACTCACAACCACAGATCTACTAGCTTTGTGTGGACTTCATATGAATTCCTATTGATTTTAGGTTTATTGCTGATTTCTTCCCAATCCAAATAAAAATAAAAAATAAAAATAAAAGTGAAAACAAACAGCCAGCAGATGATGTTTTCAGATACTGCTGTCCTTGTATTGGTGTTTTTACAAAATTTTCCCTCTCAATGATAAAGCAAGACGAAGAAATGGAAAAGGAGTAAAGAAAACTGGAAAAAAAGATTAAAAAGAAAAATTTCCAGGTTGGTGTCCTGGCAGGTATATGGAAATATGAATATCAAGGTGTCTCCCTTTGCAACAGAAACAAGCTATAAGTTGGAGATGGTAACATGGAACTCTCAGCCTCGCTGGGCGACCGTCACTGTGAAGCTGCACGGCAAGGGAGAGGAGGCAGAGGCCAAAATCAACCAGTGAGTTCACAGCATGCAACAAAGCTCTGGGTTGCATATACAGCAGCAGAATCAGTAGTAGGAGCATTAGCAGAAACGATATCTTTAGCAATAGCTGTGGCATTTGCAATAATAGCAGCCTTACCAATAGCGATAGCTTTAGCATTAGCCGCGGCGTTCACAGTAATAGCAGCCTTAACTTTTATCGTTTCATATAATTCTGCTCATGACAGTTATTCATCCTGTAATTCCTCTTTCCCTTTCTGTGCATCCTCCCAGCAAAGCCACCAAGTTTCAGCAGTACAAAACAACCAATTTATTAGCTCAGTTTGACAAAGACATTCATCCAGTCCGTAAAATGTCAGTGCAGTTCAGCACAGGAAACCTGATTGGGCCTCGCTACAAGCTACGCTTGCTGTACCTGCGACTTAGCGCCCTGGAACATCCTGACAGGTGAGCGTGCCCTCACCACTTCCCTGGCTCTCCTCCATATCTTGCCTGCATCTGCCCTGCTGGCCGTGCAGTGCATTAGATTTCAGGGTTAACTGCAGTGAAAATGGCTGGTTAAAGAATGAGCCCATTATGTTTGCAGGTACTGAAGGATTTCACACAGAAGGGCTACCATATTCCTAGCCCTCTGGCCTGCTGGTAGTTGCTGGTGTTAATTAGCCCTAATGCCCTCTTTTGTGCTCTTCTTCTCCCTCCTTACAGGCCGTCACTGTGCCGCTATGATGTCATCCTAAATGAAAATGTAGAGACATCTTTCAGACCTATTCCATGTCACGACTCAAATTTCTGAATGAACAGCAGGGGGCACCCTCTGAACCCTGAGCCAATTCTCCTTGCTGCTCATCTGGACAACAGAGGGTAATGCACAAACACTGCCAATGGAGTTAAGGTGAATCCTCACCTCCATACTGATCGGACAGATAATTTTTTTAGAGAAATTTGGAGATATAAAAATGTATATTTATTGTAAATAAATTTTTTTATGCTGACTTTTATTTATTAAAACTGTCTTGTGAGTAATGTGAAACCTTGTTGCCGGGCCGCCCCGTGTCTCTGTGTGATTCATACATTCCTGTTTTTCCTGTTCTTCTGCTGGGGACACTCCCAGAAAGCTAGGGAGTTTCATCGTAATACAAGCTCCACGAGGCACACAGGCAGTGACAGTAAGGAAAGCGCAGTGCTTTTGAACTCTGTTGGAGGGCTAATCATTTACCTTGGAAGGAATGATATTAATCCGAGTCTACCCCGTTCCAGTGCAGGCAGTCCCTGGGGTAAAAACATCCGACACATCCGATATGCCAACTCATACTTACAGGCTGCCATGAAGTCTATCATACTAAAAATTCAAGTCAAACACAGTTGTTCATAAAAACAATCAAACACACTACTTAGTGACATTTGTGAAAACATCATAAGTTCAGTGGTGTTCCAGTGGAAATTGACTTCCCAGATCAAACCTAACGCCCCATTAACACAGAGCAGCACTCAGGGAGGGGAAATGTGATCATCAATCAAAGTCATGTGACTGTCTCCCTCCCCGCCCCATAGATCAGGCCAGTTTTGGGATTTTAAGCTTTATTGTCATTCTGCACAGCTCATGCTGAGGACCCATTTGAACAGAATCATCAGAGCAGACAATAACTTGCCTTTTTAACAAGTCACTCTTATCCTAGATATCAGGTGCCAGTGGTTACCGGCATCTACCCTAGCAGTGACTGTAAAAGATAACCTGGCCAAACACACCAGCCTTGTGGCTCAAGATACTGGATTTCAGATGAAACTGCCATTGAGAACAAGCCAGAAAAGATCAGCCAGAAAGTGCCATGAAGAGTAAAAGAACAACCTCGGACTCTAGGCTAAATTACTACAAATGAATGGGGAGCCTGACTTTTACATGGGATCCTGATATGTATCTAACTAGAATATAATTCATTCAGTTTCGCAATAGGGCTCTCAGGCCTGTAACTGCTGTCGGACACATCAGGTCAATACCACAGACTTCATACTGCTGATAGGGACGACCTTTCCCGCGTAAGGAACAGGAAGGCATGGGATTGAGTATATACAGTACATGTGGTGTACATGCTGCACCAGAAGGGGGTGCTAGTAATATCAGCTACTGGAAGCACAGTTAGTGTAGCTGACCGTGGTAGTTTTATGAAGTTAATAGACCTGGTGATCAGGTACCTCTTGTATGGCACCCATGACTGGTAGGTTCTGAATGGGTAGAATATTTTTATGGGAAGCCGCAGACCTTACACTACAATACAGTCAATTACAGTCAAGCCAGAAAAAGAGCTTGCATCCCCAAAGGAATTTGGCAGAAGCGAACTTCTGATATGTTCTTCTCAATTCATTTTCTCAAGTCATTTTCTGTTAGGGCATTTTCTTCAGGAAAAATTAGTATTTTCAGCATATTTAAAGTAGCATGTTACTGAATGGCGGAACAGAAGCTAAGTGTACCTGACGGGGGGTGTCAGCGTGCTGCTGTTTGGCTAACACTAAGCAGCATGTGCCCAGGTCTGCGGCGATCGCACCCCCAACAGGCACCACCCACACGGAAAACAGCCGTTCAAACCGGAAAACAACCCTGCAAAAATGGCTGTCGCTCCTGAGTTCTAGTATTTCACAGGAACAAGGGAGAAGGGGCAGGACCCAGGCTTGTATCTGCATGACCACTACATGTACAGCTTGCTGAGGGGGGGACCGGACCGTCATAGGCCAGGGAAGCATCCGTCTGTTTCTCCTTTCCGAGGTTTCACACGCAGCCTGGTGGCAGATCCAGGAACTGCAGCAGCGAGGAAGGCAGGACCACTGCGAACGAAGAGGACAGGTGAGCGCACTGCTGCGCGGGTCTGACGTGCGCTCCGGTCGCATGCGCGTGGGGCTCTCACCACCTGCTTACTGCGCATTCAGCTTATCAGCAGGCGAGCTCAGGCTCTGGATCAGCTGCTTGTCAGAGCAGGGACTGAAGCCTTCGATCAGGTTCTTGTTGCAGTCTCCCAGGCTGGTGCTGGGTGAATGCTTGGGGTAGGCCACCTGTCCTGTCAGGTCCAGCAGGTCCTCCAGGGCTCGGGTGTTGCTTATGCTGCTGTGATGAGCATCACTGACAGGTGAAAATCGTGGGATGGAGATCAGCTCCTCCTTGGAGACTGGGCTGCCAAAGCAAAAGGTTACAGTATAAACAGAATAGAACAGCTTCTGTACAGTCTAATGGTGGTAGGGCTGTCATCACCGGAAGCGGATTCTCACCTGACTTCCATAGGCTGCACCTCATCTACGGATGCTGGAGACCCATCCTTTATCTCCAGTGGATCCAGGTTGATGAGTGGCGTGTTGACATGAGAGCCATTGGGTTTGATCTCCATACTGACCACTGTTCTGGGCTTCAGTGGGTCTTTTTTAACCTGCTCCTTCACCTCCACCTTCATCCGTCCAGGTTCCTGTTCTTTCAACTTCTCCTTCACCTCCACTTTCATCTGTCCAGGCCCCTGCCCATTCACCTCCACCTTCATCTGTCCAGGTCCCTGCTCCTTCACCGCCACCTTCATCCATCCAGGTTCCTGTTCTTTCAACTTCTCCTTCACCTCCACTTTCATCTGTCCAGGCCCCTGCCCCTTCAGCTGCCCGTTCACCTCCACTTTCATCTGTCCAGGCCCCTGCCCCTTCAGCTGCCCGTTCACCTCCATCTTCATCTGTCCAGGCCCCTGCCCCTTCAACTTCTCCTTCACCTCCACCTTCATCTGTCCAGGCCCTTGCTCCTTCACCTCCACCTTCATCTGTCCAGGCCCCTGCTCCTTCAACTTCTCCTTCACCTCCATCTTCATCTGTCCAGGCCCCTGCCCCTTCAGCTGCCCATTCATCTCCATCTTCATCTGTCCAGGCCCCTGCCCCTTCAGCTGCCCGTTCACCTGCATCTTCATCTGTCCAGGCCCTTGCTCCTTCACCTCCACCTTCATCTGTCCAGGTCCCTGCTCCTTCAACTTCTCCTTTACCTCCACCTTCATCTGTCTAGCCCCCTGCTCCTTCATCTCCACCTTAATCTGCCCAGGCCCCTGCTGCTTCAGCTGCTCCTTCACCTCCACCTTCATCTGTCCAGGTCCTTGCTCCTTCAGTCTCTCCTTCACCTCCATCTTCATCTGTCCAGGCCCCAGCTCCTTCAGCAGTCCATTCACCTCCATCTTCTCCTGCCCAGGCCCCTCCTCCTTCAACTGCTGCCTCATCTCCACCTTCACTTGTCCAGGTGACTGCCCCTTCTTCTGTCCATCCACTTTTTTGTTCACCGGTGATTCCGCCGGCATAGTTGCATGTCGTCTCTCTATAGAGCACAAACAGGTGCAAAAGTCAGAACCATGTTCTGCTGAGAAAGAGGTTCCTTAAAGGGCATGTTATAGGTCCAACATCACAGTAATAACTGAGCTGCTCAGGTCCATCTGTATTGGGTCACAATCACATCTAGGGTTCATTTTGTGGAATGCTTTTAAAAACAAGAAAAGGCGTGACATTTGCGGCATATGAAAGTAACGCCACAGTGAAACAGTGCTGCAGCAGTGTGACACGTGTCAGCTGAGTGTGACATGTGACCCTGCAGAGTGACTGTTGTCATGACGACATCTCGACTGATCTCGCTGCTGTCTTCAGGGTGATGCCAAAGCTCCACAGCTGATCATGGTGCTGGTACCTGCAGGTCCTGGCAGTGCAGCTGAGACAGGCGTTGGTAATTCTTCTTTCTGTTTAATACAAAAGAGCACAAAACCAGGGATCCTCAGTCATCAGCAGCAGGAAGCAGAGGAGCATAATCACCAGCAGCCAAAGTGAATCTGTCACCTTCATCTCAGCGTCGGGCTTCCTGGTCCTCTTCATGATCTCCTCAACCCTCTAGGGAAAGATGGAAAGGTTCTCAGTGTCAAACATCATTTGCATACTTCACCGTACTTGTGTTCTTGTGTACCCGTTTTACGTCATCTTTTATTGCTGAAAACCAGTTCCAATACTAAGAACACAAGTGCAGAGGAATGTAAAAATCTCTGAATGTTGATCTTGCCCCAAATATCAAGGATACGTCGGTTGCATCCTTGCCGAACGAGACCAATCCCATGACTCGTTGCACTCCAAGTTCGTTCTTGGACAGCAAGTTAGCAAGACCGTTCTTACCAAGACCACAAGTACGGTCTTTGTGTTCTTAGTTTTGAGATTCACCCACTAAAATGAGTAACTGTATGGCTACAGTGGGTGTTGAGAATCTGCTATATGTGGCCTGACGGCACTCAGGGGAAGCAGCAGACACATCCCCCATCGCCTGTCACCATGGTCTTGCACACCAGTGGCTGTCATCCGCGACACAAACTTCTTTGAAAGCCGCATTTTCACATTGTGCCTTCGACTTGCTACATTAAAGAAGCCGAGTTAGTAAAAGCTGCCCGCAGTGCAGTGCTGATGCTTTCAGGGTGACATGCTCAGTGCAGCACCTTCTTCCTCTGCAATCGCTCCTGCTCCTCCTGCAGTTTCACCGTCTCCCGCTCCTGCCGCTGGTGCTCCGCCTCCTTCTGGGCCTCCTCCCACTGTGAAGGAGCAGGTTACAGCAGCAGTGTGACCTCCCTGCTGCATTCAACAAAACCACCATAATATCACAGGGCCACAGACCTCTCCATGAATGTGAGTGTGTAGTTCCCTGTCCTGGAGCGCCCTCTGCTGTTGCTGTCTGTCCTCCCTGCCTCTACACTCCTGCTCCCTCTTCTGCTTCTCCACCTCCTCTTTCTGTGCCTCCTCCTGTTTCTTCAATGCTTCCTCCATCTTCAACCTGTAAGACAGAAGAGGTGTGTGTTGGTACTAGTTGGTTATACACACGCCATCGCACACACACGACCGGTCACACACACTCACAGCCAGCCATACACACTCACAGCCGGTCACTCACTCTCAACCAGTCACTCACTCACAGCCGGTCACACACACTCACGGCTAGACACACACACTCACAGCCGGTCACACACACATAGCTGGACACACAATCACAGCCAGTCACACACACTCACAGCCGGTCACACACACTCACGGCTAGACACACACACTCACAGCCGGTCACACACACTCACGGCTGGACACACAATCACAGCCCATCACACACTCACAGCCAGTCACACACACTCACGGCTGGACACACAATCACAGCCCATCACACACTCACAGCCGGTCACACACACCTCTCCTCCTGTTCCTTCTGCAGACGTGCTTGACGCCTCCGTTCTCCCAGCAATCTGGAGGCTTCTTCGGCATCTGTGTTCCTTGCAGCAGACTTTGCTGTTGGTGAGGTTGGAAGCCGTTCTGATGTCAGAGAGAAACACCACGATGAATTAGCAGACAGCAGCTGAGGTGTAGAGCGAGCGGCCGGAGATGGAGTCAGCCACTCACCAGCTCCCCGCTCCAAGGGCACCTCACAGCCCGGCTTCTTTGCTGGGCTTTCAGGGTTAGATGGCTTCCTCTCTGGAGGCTCCGGCTTAAATGAATTCATTTCTGCTGTGTCACACCATGATGTTCCCTTACGAGGAATGTGAGTCATTAACGGTTTGTTAGTAGGGGACTCAGTATTCACTGGCTTCTTGCTGGGAGAGTCAATGTTTACTGGTTTCATGTTATGTGAGTCAGTATTCATTGGTTTATTATTGGGATACTCAATATTTACTGGTTTCTTGCTGGGAGAGTCAGTGTTTACAAGCTTATGGCTGGGAGAGTCAGTGTGTACTGGTTTCCTGCTGGGAGAATCAGTGTTTATAAGCTTATGGCTGGGAGAGTCAGTGTGTACTGGTTTCCTGGTGGGAGAGTCAGTGTTTACTGGTTTCCTGTTGGGAGATTCAATGTTCTGATTTCTGAAGCCTTCTGCTTGGGGGTCCTGGGTGCGGTCCTGCTCCTTGGGGCTGTTGTGTTTCCGTGGTGACAGGGGGCAGCCCTTTAACAACGACCTGGAGGTACAGAGAACATGACACATGCTGCAAAGGCAGCCTTGCATTCAGAGGCATGTTTACAGTGTAACGGAGCTACTATACACATGGTCGGTGTGAGGAATATCTCAGCTGCATGTTAGAGAGAGGATTCAAGCACACACACACTCACAGACAGGCACAAACTCACAACCAGACACACACGTGCACAGCCACACACAGAGACAATCACAGATACACTCACACACACCTACACAGAGACACACACTCACTTGCTTGCTGCTGGAGAGGCAGGCCGTCTGCTGGGTGTAGCAGGGGATTCGGGTCGCCTCCGGGGGGAGCCAGTGAGTGGGGAGGCCGTTCGCTGTTCTCTGTGCAGCTTCTGACACCAAAGTGGATAGGTGTGTTTAGCAGAGTGTGTGGAGAACACCGTGCTGCAACCCCAGACAGTCACGATGCTTACACAGAGCAGGGCTCTGAGACACGGCCTGAATGGGGCAGCACTCATTATTACATAATGTCATAACCCTGCTGGGTTATGTGATACTGTGGTAACACTCTAAATCTCTTTGTGGTGCTGGTGTAACACTACTTTATTCTAAAAACTGCTGTCACACCACATAGTGCTGTGAAATTGTAGTTTAAGCAGAGGCATGATGTATAACATTGTGAAGAATGGCTTTTTCATACATACTATATAAGAAGAACTGTGTAACGCCTGTAAATACCATGTAAGATCGTATGGAATTATGTAGAGATGTGTGACACCATTCAGGACTGAATAGTAGGCCTTTAATAATAAGCTGATTTGCACCTTGGGGGTGCCAGGCACTGCTGCCACCCCCCCTCCTCCATCTTCCGCAGAAGCCGATGTGGCCTTGCGCCGGTCCGCTCGGCTTGGGGACCCACGGTAGGGGGACCGGTGGGGGCTGGGTGGCACTGCACAAAGACAAGCCCAAACGCAGAATATTTACGAGCGTGTCAAAGGTGAAAGGTCAGAGCCCATAGGAGCAGCAGAGAGAGGCGGGTGAGACTGTGGACTGCTCCCAGCTCATACACAGACATGCACTCCATGGACACATGCCCTAGGTAATGTGTTTCTAGACAGAGGAGCACAGGAGAGCATCATTCATCACTGTCAGTCACTGGACTGCAGTGCTCCTCTGGATAACTCTCAATAGCTAGCTAGAGCTGCCCCACTCAGAATGCGGACCTCTTTACCTGTGCAAGCAGCTGCAGTCCCTGGGTGATACTGTGATTGAGCGGTTTAGGGTGTGATGGGGAGGTATGAACCATGAAGATGGGGATGGGTGATGGGGAGGTACGAACCATGAAGATGGCTATTCACAGTTACGCATGGATACTCTTGACTCTCGTAGTTGCTTATTTGTACTGCTGGTTACTCAAGAGTACTCTTGTTACTCATGGTTACTTATGAGTACTACTGGTTACTCATGGGTACTCTTGTTATTCATGGTTACTTATGAGTATTGCCTGTTATGCATGTGTACTCATCTTATTTATGGCTAATTATGAGTGCTGCTGCTTACTCACAGATACTCATATTATTCATGGTTACTTATGAGTACTACTGGTTACTCATGGGTACTCTTGTTATTCATGGTTACTTATGAGTATTGCCTGTTATGCATGGGTACTCTTCTTATTTATGGTTAATTATGAGTGCTGCTGCTTACTCACAGATACTCATATTATTCATGGTTACTTGTGAGTACTGCTAGTTACTCATGGTTACTCGTGTTTTTCATGATTGCTCATGTGCTCACATGTATTACATAAGTCCATTTATCAGCTTAATAAAGGGGATAATAAAGGACAACAAGCTGAATGTGAGATGAAAAAGAAGATGAGAAGAGAAGTCACAATGTGGTTATTAACTGTGCCCAAAACTGACTGGAATGTTACTGCTGTGGGGGTTCTGTTACCTCTGAGAGATGCTGATACCTCTGAGAGGTTCTGTTACCTCAGTGTTGCTCTGTTACCTCTGAGAGATGCTGATACCTCTGAGAGGTTCTGTTACCTCTGTGATGCTGTTACCTCTGAGACGTTCTGACTCACACACTGATACACACACTCACACATGCAGACACACACAGGCACACTTGCCTCTATTTTCAGTGTGGCTAACAGCCAAAGTAGAGGATGAAAGGCGCTTGCAGATGATTGGGCCCAAGGATGGGGACAGGGTCGTGGTGGATGCTGACACATAGTCAGCTGCTGTAGAGAGATGCATGATGGGAATTTCATACTGGGGAAGCTATGGGGATCAGACAAAATTAAATCCATGCCAGGCACAGGTAAACAAAGTTTAGAGCAGAGAGGCTTCCTATCCTCAAATATAACCTGGAAATATTTTTATGTTTTTTATATGAAGCTGCTGGGTTTTACTTCAGAATTTACAACTGCAGAGTTATCCTGCAATAGGAGGTGTTGCCCTCTTTTGCCATCTTATATATAAAGATTTCTTTATTAACTCTATTATTTTTTATTCATTATAAATTGTTTTAAAGATTATATTATATTAATTATTTCTCAATTTTAAAGAATATATGTTTGCACTGCTGCACTTTAGTTTACTATTCAGCTTGAAACTGTATATTGATATTGTATATTATTGTTGTCGTTCGTTATTGTTTTTATTTGTTTATTTTTGTTTATATATTTTTCTTCAATTTACTTTTATAATGTGTAGCATTGGTGGGAAAGCACACAGGGTATCACTGTGTCACTGTTCCATCACTCCATTTCCCAACAGTGAAAGTGACGTCCTGGCTGCTCTGTCACGGGGGGAAGCCCCATCTGATCTGCTAAAAGCTGTGAACACAGGGCAGCTCATTTTGTCTGATGTGGCACTGGGCACCAAACCCATGTTCCCACCATCCTCAGGGGAAGAGAGAGGAGGAAATGGTCAGAGGAATGAAGAGATGAAAAAGAAAAAGAATGAAATGACCAATGAAATAGCGGACTGGTGAACAGACATGTCACTGAAAACGTGGAGCACATTGTCACTACTTGTCTCACATTGTCACACCATGTCTCATGCTGTTACACAACCTCTCATGCTTTCACAGCCTGTCTCACACCATTATACCCTGTCACATCCTGCCTCAAGCTGACACACCGTGTCACATCCTATAACATGCTGTCACACCTGGTCACACGCTGTCACACCCGGTCACATACTGTCACACCATGTCTCACACTGTCACACCGTCACATGGTGTCACATTCTGTCACACCCTATCTAACCCTGTATCACCCTGTCGCATGCTGCCACACCCTGGCAAGCACTGTCACACTCTGCCTATCTCTGTCTCACATGCTGTCACAATCTGTCACACACTGTCCTCTTGCAAATCTGCAACTTGACCTACAGCCAAGGCACATGCCAGTTGAAAATTTGTGAAATCTGAGGACAATAAAGAAAATGGTTCCCAGCCAGATCAATCCTGCACGTCCTAGAAGAAAGCAGCTTAGGCTGGGAACCCAGACACACTAGCAATGAAACAGGTCCCATTGCATGACAGTGGGCAACACCATTACATGAAGGTGGGCGGAGCCACGACATGAAGGTGGGCGGAGCCACGACATGAAGGTTGGCAGGGCCATGGCATGAGGGTGTGTGGGGCCATGGCACACAGAGAATGGCAGGAGCTCAGTACCGTGGCTGAATTCGCTGACAGCAGGTGAGGGGGCGGCGAGCTCGGAGGGGTGGGCGGAGGCAGCGGAGAGAGGGGGCGGGGAATTCTCACAGTCACCTGGGCAGCAGGCAGGGTCAGAGCAGGGCGGAGCAAAGAGAGGAGAGCATTACAAGCAGGACTGGGCACCTGTGACCAGCCAGCGGGGCAGATGATCGTAAGAGAGGTTGTTACAGCACAGATCCAGGATCAGGCAGAGCAGTGCTTATTGTGCTGACTGGAGCAGACAGATTCAGACAGACCACCAGGTACTGATCTAGGATCAGGCAGAGCAGCACTCACTGTGCTGACCCGAGCAGACAGATTCAGACAGGCCACTGAGCACTGATCCAGGATCAAGGGGAGCAGCACTCACTGTGCTGACCCGAGCAGACAGATTCAGAGAGGCCACCAAGCGCTGATCCAGGATCAGGCAGAGTGGCACTCACTGTACTGACCCAAGCAGACAGATTCAGAGAGGCCACCAAGCGCTGATCCAGGATCAGGCAGAGTGGCACTCACTGTACTGACCCAAGCAGACAGATTCAGACATGCCACCGAGCTCTGATCCAGGATCAGGCGGAGCAGCGCTCACTGCGCTGACCGCTCACGCACACGTATAGCATTTATCTATGCTGTCACACAAACATTAACAACCAATAACAGACAGTCACACACAGACCCAGGCCCACAATCTCACTCAAAAAGTCGTTCAGTCACAGAGCGCAAACACACACTTGCTTGTGGGCGCGAAAAATTCAGGAAGACGTGACTAGTTATACAAGACATAAGAGATAATAAAAATACGTGCCCCTACAGAAATGTAAACCACGTAGTCCATCAGTTGAATGTTACCCAGCATGCCCTGGGACAGCAGCCATCGTGATGGACTGTGTTCCCCAATCCAGCGGTGCAGAAGCCCCACCCCCATTCCCATGCGTGACTCTGACTCACCCTCCCTGCCCCAGACCCAGCGCTTGGGCCTCTGCTCCAGCTGCAAACTGCGCTCCAGCGACCTCCTCATCAGAGCCTCCAGCCTCTCCTGTGCACCGCGTCAGGGTCAACAGAGAGACAAGTGTCACCGGGCTGTTGTCTGTGACGCCCCTCGCAGGCCAGGGCAGGAGATGCAGGGCAAAATGACATCTGACCTTTTCTTCCTCCAGCCGCTGCCTCCTCTTCTCTTCGACGGCGGCGCGGCGCAGCTCCTCCTTCTGCCTCTGCTCCTCCAGGCGCCTCCAGCGCTCCTCCACCGTCCGCTCATACTGCAACTGGGCCCTACGCTCCTTCTCGCGGATGGCCTGCTCCCGTGCCGCTACAGCGAGGCACAGGGACCACCGTTACCCTGACCGTTACCCTAAGCCTGACCAGAACAGTGTCAATTTTGACAGCAAATTATTATTTAGTTTAGTCATAGTCTTTTGACTAAAATGATTTAGTTTCAGTCATAATTTAGTCATCTAAATTAGTTTTAGTTGACTAAATATCATAAGATTACAGTCGACTAAAATTAAAAGTGTAAAGTGAAATGTTTATAGTTTCCATTTGATGTCAGAAAGTCATTATGTTCACAAGATGAAATTTAACCAATGTTAAGGGATGGTTTTAAGGTCTGACTGTGCAGTACACAAAGACACACATTTCCCTCTTATTTGAAACACAAACATGTGTTTATTTACCCAGAAACTGAGTACTGTAAAATCAGTAGTGCTATTAGTGGAAAAATAAAATCACTTCAAAGTGAATAGGCTATAATACCACCAGCCAGGCCTGCTCTCTCTGAATATTAAAATAGAAATATTAAAATAAATATTTGTAGACGTAGTTTATTGGTGATTTCATGTTCGTCGAAGTTTCTGCTTTTTAACAACTGTATAAAGTAATGTTATTTGTTATGTAAATCAAAAATGTACTTTTTCAGGGTTGCCAAATATCAAGCATCTGGCATGACACTCACGCTTTCAGACTCACGCTGGAACTCCTACGGTAAATCTATATTATTCCATTATAAAACCTAAAATTAGCTACGTGAAAGGTGTATTTACACGGTTAAATACAAAAGCAGTCTATGTAGAATTGGTAAGAACTGTTACATGTGTGTGCAGATCTCGAACTGAAAATCTCACTCCAGCCAGCTGGCCGAAGTTGGTAACCCCGCGTTTTATTTGAAATAAAAAGTAAAATGTGCTGTTTTCGCCTGAAACGGCTCGTCATTCCGTTTGCGTTGTTACTCCGACAAATATAAAACGAATATGAGAAAAACATGTCACGTTTTATATCTTTTGGAAATAATAAGACCGTGCATATCCTACTCTAACACCGATTAAAGTGATAAGTTCGTTTGTATTTATATTAAAACGAGACTTTAATTTTATTACCGGTGTGGAATTATAGAAAAGCAATACTTAAATCCATGAACACTAAAATATATGACATAGACACGACTGTATTAGGGTTTTCTCTTATTTTGAAATGCAGCCCTACCTTTATTTAGTAGATGCTGATACAACTAATAGGCTACTTAAATATATATCACACTAAATAGACATTGTGATCTCCCGAACCTTTGCTTCAAGAAATTTTCTCTAAGGCCTCGTTCACACGGACTTCTGCACAAAGCATTTTTCTGGCGTTACTGACGCCAGGCGAGCGCCGAATGAACGCCGACCGTTTTTCTGCTCATGGAGCAAATCAAAGCGACCACACTGGCGTTCAGAACCGGCGTTCGGCCGGCTAAGCGTTCAGGTGGCGTCCAATAAACGCTGCATGCAACGTTTTCTTGGCGTCAAAATCCCGACGAACGCGAGGAAAACGACGATATTGCGTTTACATGGCGTTCGGTTGGCGTTCCAGAGGACCGAATATGTCCCACGATTCTGTACGGCAACTTCGAGAAACCACATTTTACGGAAAATGTGATACTCGTAATATCGGTATTGTACCAGCAGTGAGTTAATCAGCTGCTGGTACAATACCGATATTACGAGTAACCCAAACCGACGGATCAACTGGTGCTAATATTTTCGCTTAAAATACCAATTTAAAAAGCTCAGTAGGCAACTGGAAATTTGGACATCTATAAGGAAAAACTCATTTAACTGATGCACCGTATCTGCTTTCTCTTTTCAACTGTCTTTACTCATAGGGTTCAACTGCAGTTAATGCGAAATTACAAAAGCTGTAGACATATTTCAGCATAAAATCATGCGATATAAATAATTATAGTGTTACAGCAATTACGGCCGTAATTATCATAAAGCCTTGCAACGCCGATCAGGATAAGCAGTGGGGATCGAGATTGATGGATGTGTGGATGTAAATAAAATTTACATAAATGCATCTTGGACCTCTAGCTTAAAAATATAGTTTACACACTGCAGCTGATCCCCCAAAATTTAAGCAATTAATATATAAACCCCGCTTCTCTCCAATACCTCAACAATTATGGATGGTTTCGAGAGTACATCATATAACTTTGGTTACTTAATTATTACCCGTGCGACATACTCAGAAAACGGCGGCTGAAAGTGAAACACACACATCGAGCCCGAAAAAAATCACAAAAAAACTGAAAATGAAAGACGCAAATTATGCACATTTGAAAGTAATTGTTAAATGTAAAACTAGAACTTTACAATGTGATTTCGTCATCTTGTTTAAATCTCGAAATATACATTAGAAACCTTAAGAGTAATTACTGCCCCCACAGGTAAATACACGAGACTACAGATTGGGCGTATCGAACGCAGCTACAAAACGCAGGAAAAACACGTATGGCATTCATAGGGCGTTCATTTCGAACGTCCGTGTGGATGAGGCCTAACTGATCCCTGCCTTACGAGATCTACATTAGTTCTGACTGGATCTCGTCTATGGCAAACATTTTCGTCTCGTTTTTATTCGTTTAAGAAATTGTCAATACTCTTCGTCATAGTCTTAGGCGTCGCAAAATCATTTTTATTTATTTATCGTCTCGTTTTAGTCTGAAAATAAAGGTCGTTGTCAATAACTATGACGAAAAATTTTCATCAACAAAATTAACACTGGACCACAAGCCTCACCCAGGGTGAGTGACTGGGATGGCTGGGTTGGCGACACAGGCTTCATGAAGCCACAAGGGTAAAGAACATTCGGCTCACTCCTGATTAAATATTTAAAAGCACAGAGAATTGCAACCACAGACAAGCAACACCCTCTGCAGGGGTGCGCAGAGCCCCAGGTCACATAATAAAGCAGCACCGTGTGCAGGGGCGCGCAGAGCCCCAGGTCACATAATAAAGCAGCACCGTGTGCAGGGGCGCGCAGAGCCCCAGGTCACATGATACACATAAGTCTCACCTAGGCTCCGCTCCCTCTCCTCCCGCCGCTCTTTGGCAAGGCGCATCCTGTCATCCGTCCTCAGGTACCCATCTGCGTCTGAGGAAGTGCAAACACACGGCTGTGTCTGCGGAGCAAGCTGGGCTCCCCCAGAGCTGGACGCCGTGCCCTCACACTGTGCGCTCACACTGTGGGAGTGCCACTTACATTGTTTACCTGCCGGGCTGCTGGGATTAGCTGCCAGACGAATAGGGGAGGCATGGCCATTGACCTGAACTCTCCTTTCTTCCCCTGTGAAAGAATTAACATGAGGTGATGGTTTGCTGATCATATACTGAGTGGCAGCACAGCACCCTCTATGGCTGGAATCAGACTACATGCCCCTCTGTGCCCGCTATATCTGGCCAGGGGAGTTATGCACTCATGGGAGTTTTACACAAAAATGTCCTGACGGCAGAAGAAAAAATGATTGGTTCAGAGAGTTGACCAATCAGGTTGTAAAGGAGGTGGCTTCAAGAAACTATAGGAGGCAGGACCAACCAATCAAATGTCTTGCTCTCGCCTCCTCTAGTTGCTTTGACCCACCTCCTCTACAATCTGATAGGTTGTCTCTCTGAACCAATCATTTTTCCTTCTGCCCTCAGAACATTTTTGTGTAAGTAAAACTCCCACATGCGAGTTATGCTGTCACTATGTGTTGTTAAGAGAACGTACTGCATGCTTGGAGAAGTGGAACATTCCCAAAGCCCCTTAAATCTCACCACTGGGGGGTGCTTACATTTCCCTCCAGGACTTCCCGGATTGGCCAGCAGACGGACAGGGGAGGGGTTCCCGTTGGCTGACGGTCTCCTCTCAGAAACAGAAGGCGGGGTCATCACATCTGCCGGCCCAGAGGAATGTGTTTGACAGGGAAACAGACCTGGTTATGCATTCTGCTAATAATAATTACTGATAAAGCACTTTTTAAGAATATATCCCCTTAACAGTTTAGGTGCTCAGTACGTCTCATACCCTTCAGTTTACAGTTCCCATATTTTTTTCCTGTACGTTTTTCACAAGAAGTTCAGGTGCTTCACCCAGTCATACATCACAGCGCACAAGTAGGTAGTTACAAGTCCTGCTTCCTTGAGCATTGCAGCCCTATGGTGTTTCATTATTTTAATCACCATCTTGCATCAATGAGAGGGCGCTGATCCACACAAACAAACAGCACAGAAGGGGGGCAGCTTCAGAAGCAGAGCGGACTGAACACACACCCACTGCGAAAGTCTGCAAAGAGCCACTGGATCCAGTCCAGAGTGACACAGCAGAACAAGAAGAACGGGAACGACAGCAAGATGGGACACCCAGGGGTGCACCTGTCTTACCTTGGGAAAGAGCTAACAGTCTTTAAATCAAGAATAAAGAATCATCTTTCCCAGTTATTTCACTTCTGGTTCCTGTCAACCACATCACACACTCACACAAAGAAGTCTCATGCCCCCCATTTTGCCCACCAGAGAGGGGTGCCCCTCCGTAGATTTTGCCACTTTGGGAACCCCTGAACGAAAGATGCACGATATATCGGTTAACATATAGGTAGCAGCCGATGTTGGTTAAAAATCAAGATGCCGGTATCAGTCCAATCTGTAAATCATGGCTGATATTGGCTGATATATAGACTTCAGTCAATATTTAAAGTTGGCAGCACCGGAGCTAAAGGTGTAACTACTAAAATAATTCAGAGGATTGCATTTGACAATCAGCCATTTTCCGTAGTTTACCACAAGGATTTTGTCGGCTCATTCAGATCAGAACCACGCTATATGGTTTCCCAAGTTGCATTGAATTGATGTCTCACTGCTAGCATATGATGTGGTTGCTATACATATTCACAGGATCATAGTAACGTCATCAAGATCAGTTTCACGACAGATTTGTAGAGCTCAGAGGTTATTGGTATCGGTAATGTTAGACGAATACATTGGTTACTGCTCTCAGACAAAATCACATCAGTGCACCACTAACATAAACACAAACATTCACTCAAACTGGCAGGTATCTACTCGCACTCCCTGCCCTTACGAAAATTAACCATGTTTTTACTATGACTAAATAACCATGGTTTACAATGGTTTGCCGTTTTTCATGGCTTTTCGGGTAACTATGGAAACCATGACTATGGTTTTATCATGGATTCGCTACAGTTAAACCCTAGTATAATCTTGGTCATAAACCATGGTTTTTGTTTTACCATGGTCTTTCCAAACCATGGTAGTACTATGGGTAGTACCAAAGTACCATGAGCTACCATAGTAAAACTATGGTTACTGCATAAAAACCATAGGAAACCATAGTGAATTTTCAAAAGGGTGGGTTTCTGCTCCGGGCGTATACATCACCCTAAAGCACAAGAGACACACACACTTTCAGAAGCAGTCACTGCAGCAGCCTCTACCGGCTGCTGGTGCAGAGTGACTTGATGTGAAGATGGAGGGTGGAGATATTATGGGCTGGTTTATGGGGTGGATCCAGAAAGTGGAGAAGTCCGCCTTCATCAGCAACTGCTTGCCGATCAATACACATTAAGGATATCAAGACGGAAGCTCCTCAGGGCCACCTTGTCTATGGGCTGCTATCCATCACTAACGTGAGCTTCAGATCCCCTGCCCACACAGGCCTGCAAATCATAGAAAGGGTTCAGCGCTAAGAAGACGTATACTAACCTACTGTAGGCCAAGCTATTGTAAGCTATTCTCTAAACTTGCCCTTATTACCGGCTGTATCCTGGTGCCTGTGGTTTTACTGCAGAGCAGAAATATGAGAGCTGCTCACATCAGCGGCATCGCCTCTATAGCAATGAATTGAGCAACACCCAAAAAGGCGCATCACCCTCAGAGACTCTCTGTCCTTCGGCAAAGAGCCGATCGCGTCCCTGCATCAGCACCTCTATGTAACAGCGTAGGGACTCGACCGCATAAAAGTTCGCGGCTATAAAGAACTGCACCCTTGGGGGGAAAAAAACAAAAAAAAATTCCAAGGCTGTCATTAACAATTATTGAATGTAGGCCTACATGGGTAAGCGTTTTATGAATCCGCCCTTTTCATATATGTCATTAGTTTTGCTGGCAGCTTGCGTTATACAAATCAGCATTTGACTTTAGATAATAGACAGATGATGTTTGAGTGCGCAATCATTCTAAAAACATCTAATATGCAAATAAAATGTTTCGGATTACAACCGAAAGCGATTAAATATGAGAGGTATAATTAAGGTGCAAATTTAGCTAACAATCATTTTGCTGCAGGTACCGCAATATTTGCCCAAATAAACACGACTTAGCGACGAGAGACAGCTGAGTCAGGCAGCCAGTCGCCGAGACTGCGGCGTCATTTATTGTTAAAACGTGGCTATAGATGGTCCTTTTTCCGAAACCGTGTGGCTCCCCGTGATGGGACACAATCCCCGAGATGTGTTCTTAAGCACGTTTAATTGTCCTTTTACTAATATGGGACACAATCCCCGATATTTATAAAGGACAGAGTGCAGCGTCCCTGTCTCTCTGTGGTTATGAGCAGGTCATCTATGCTCATTTCTTATTGTAAAACCGCAGTATGGAAAAAGGTCACTGCCGTTCTCCATGCTATTACCCTACGGATGATATGCAATCATAAACCACCCAGAGACCAGCACCTTCGAAAGCGTCCGGCACCTACCTCCCCGCGCCTTCCCCGGCAGATCCGCTGTGTTCTCCGCCATGCTCACGGGCTCCAGCAGCTGCCGAGATGCACGGGCGCAATGTCACCTCCAGGCGGGCAGAGCAACTGAAAAGGCCGGCTCAGAGCAGCCGCATCCTGGGCCAGCGGGTGGGGGGCAGGTGTAGCTTTCGTCCGCCTCTACGATCGTAGGACGCGGCTCAAAATGCAAAATCAGAGCAGAGCGGCTGTCGGATGAAATACGAGCTTCCCCGCTTATATTGCGATTTTTATTCGACACACTAATGGGTGGCCCAGATTATCGGCGTGATCCCGTCTGCTCGGATGCGGGGGGTGAAGCTGAGGCGCCGCAGCGCTGCGCGCAGCCGCTTCGCATTACATCACCGACCGAGGGCTGATGATGACCTGGGCTGATGATGACCGGGGGCATGACGGTCCCCAAAGAGCAGCCTCTCCAGCCTCAGCCGTGCTTGTTTTCATTCTAACTAAATCCCACCACATATTCCGCCATATCATTAACAGTTCTTATTATTATAACAGCGGTATTTCTGTGAGGGTATACAAAAAACACCCCTGGACCATATTACAGTTACTACGCTGCAGAGGACTACTGCGGTACCATTCAGCATGAGAGTGTCTCCAGATGGCACGGAGCTATATAGTAAAATTACGGGTCCCCCTCCCCCCCACAAAAAAAAAAACTGGGCTTACAGTATGAATTCCTGGGAAGTGTGACAACCACATACGCACTTACAGGGAGCAAGAGACAAACAGGTGATTTCATGCCAAAAAGGATGCTTCTGAAAACTCGAAGTCAGAGGAAGATTAAGACAATAAGAAGCACTGAACTGGAAAAGTCAAATAAGCAGCGGATAAAACAGGCAAAAATGCATGGTACCTTTGGATGACTTTTGGATACCTACAAGGTGACAATACAGCTTCAAACCATGTCATAAAAAAAGACACACCCATCCATCTTCTGTCACCGCTTGTGCTATTTAGGGGGGTCCGGAGGCAAAAGGCAGGAGTAAGACACATTTCCATTAAAAAGCTAAAGAATCAAACATGACAAACAGCGTCAGTTTATAGGCTGAACAAAAAAGGTCCTGTAGTGAGACCAGACCACAAGGCCAGTCCAAATGTAAGCACAACTACAAACTGTAAGGGGCCGTGTGACCCCAGCCAGACAGCCAGAATTCACCAGTCAGCATTCATCAAAGTCGATGTATCAAGGTTAAGGGATCAAATTAAACTCAATAGGGTTGTGCTATCAAAGCAAAGCTCTGAATGTGAATTGAAGTTTGTTATCTAAGTCAAGCCACAGCAGTAGACTTCAGGCAGTTTGTTGTATACAGCCTTCTTGAAATTTGTCATTCCCCTGTGCTACAAGTCAAGGGTAGACAGTAAAAAATATAGGTCTTTTAAATATGGACAGCTCTAGAGAGTTGAATGACTTTTCCAGAGAAGAGCATGGCTTAAATGCATCCTTGCTGCAGGAGTAGATCCTTTCTGGGGCACCCAGGCACATCGTGTGCTGACTGTGGAAAACGTCATGAAGGTCTGGGAGCCGCTGGCGTCCCCTGCATGCACTCGGCTGCGGGGGGGTTGGGGTTGGGGAGGCCACTGTCTTAGAGGAAAATACAGAAACTGCCCAGGAATTGACTGAAGAGCAGCAAAAAAAAAAGCCTGCTGGAAATTTCTTAGGATTTTTATAATCAAGCTGCCATTTTAAAAAAAAGGTCAGTGTACAATCGACCTAAAATAGCAGGATACAGGTCAGCTAAGAGAGACTGCTTTCTGGAACCAGCACGTACAAGGATTTCAGTGTCACCTAAAAGCTTTCTGGGGATTTGAGTGGCCGAGAATCATTGCTTAGGATATTAAACAGATTTGACATTTCCCGGATTTTGTCATTTCCATTGAAATTCTCTGAATAAAACAAATTCAATGAAAAGTAAGATTTCAGAAATGTCTAGATGTTCAAACAATGCACAAGCATTTTGTTCTGCAGGGCCTGAAATCAGCACAGAAGAGGCTAACATTTCAGGCGCTCTAATAAACCAACCTTAAACGTAACAGTTCAATTTTTTCATAATTCAAAAACACCAGGAGAATTTTAAGTCACTTTATTTAAAGGTATCCATAAAGAGCTTAGCAGAGATGTGTAGTATGAGAAACACTGAGCAGATATCAAATACACAAACCTACTGAAAACAGCAGATCAGCGCAGTCTGGGTCTGCAAGGGCTGCACACTGGTGTGCATGTAGATTCACCTGGGCTCATACAGGAATACCATTTCCCAGATGTACATAGTTTATATATAGTCTATGGCAGAAGAACTGGTCAAAGAAATATTCACGAGAGTGAAAAATCATGTAATAACTAGATCTAAACTGCAAAAATCCATGTAGGGAAAACACTAAATTAGTTGATCATCCAAATACGAAAAGCCACCCGACTGAGCAGGAAAAAAACAAAGCTGTTGGTTATAGCTCTGATGCAAATTTGCCATTTATTTCTATTTGCATAATCAATCTTTAGTCACATCGCCAAATTAAACAATACTGGATGGAAGGAAAGAAAAAGATCATGAAAGAGTGTGTTCAACACCTTTCATTGGCCTTGATACTTAGCAGGGCAATTTGGTCAGGTGTGCATCAAGGCAGCAAACAAACAAATTAACAAATGTAAAAGAGGCCAAGTTTTTACTGTAAATGTGCTGTATGCCGGGTGAAGTAAAATATAAATATATTAAAATGAAACCATGAAGGAGGCTGCATTTTCAGCAGGAATTACATTCACATCCACTTTCTACAAAGAGATGTGAAACCAGCCCCAAATTCCAGGGGGCATCTTGTCCAGGTCCTCCCGGGAGGGGCGTTCACCTCCCTTTCCTGGACCAGTCCTCGTTTAGATCTGAGGAGAGAGTAGGGAGCGTTAAGCCCAGAGAGCTGGGGCAGTGCCGCCAATACCGCCCCCACACCACGAACTCCATGCCGTTCAGGCCCCAGCAAAAAAAGGAGAGGGGCCACCCCATTCACACACATGAGGCTGTATGCGGAATCCATGGCATCCAGCACTACCTCACTGCACTTACATCATCGATATCCTCATCGTCATCACCAATATCATCAAACTGGATTTCGTCGTCGTCCCCGGGGCCAAAGGTATCAGTCTCATTAATTTTAGCTGCAAAGGAGAAACAGAGTAATGGGTACGAGAGGACAGGTGAGACAGCCTCATCAAACAAACAGCCTTCAACTGCCATCCACTGCATCCAGTTCAGTGGCTGGAGCAGTGAGTCCAGGCCGCCATCTTCTCGGTCTACCTTCTGCGCAGAAAGGCCCCAGGCAGACTCACCATGCTCGGGAAGCTCCCCATAGGCCTTCAGACTACGCGCTTCATCTGCATTGTACTTCAGGATAACATCAGCTTTGTTGTCCTGCAAGTGAGACAAGACTAGTCACACAGCGTCAATTCGAACCCCGCCCCCAAAGGCTACAGGCTATCAACGACAGATAGAGTCATGCGGATATGCAAACGCAGTCCAGCATACATGAAGTCCTAGTAGTTACTAAATTTAGGCTACAGTGGGCTGTACGTGCAGCTGGTCACACTTTCCCCACAGGCCTACCTGGTAATCTCTCAGTCCCACCAGTATGATGTCAGATGTGTTAATCCAAACCTGGAAAAGAGAGAACAGACAACATATTAATGAAAAACTGCACGTGGGGGCCAATCCCATTCAGAAGGCTGCTTATGTCAGCAGGGAGGAGCATAACTTCTGGGTATTAGTAGAAATTATCAGCTATGACCGAAAGTCTACAGATGGTCCATAACTGACATCTATGCCCACAGGTCAGAGAATTTTCTCGAAAAACCTGCAAATTGGAAAGAACTACACATAAGGTTTTAAATTGTGAGTCCTAGTCTGCTACCCCCCCCCCCATACTTGCCTCATTAAAAAGAACCTTGAACATTCCACTCTTGTTAATTTCCAATTTCCACAGGTCTTGGATTTAGAATGAAATAGTGAGACTTCAGTAATCCCCATGGGGAAATTGTCTTTGCCCCATTTTCCTCTCCATACAGGGGCAAGTTAGTTAGGGAGTAACAGCAAAAGGGCAGCCACTATGGGATGCCCCAGGAGCTGGAAGCAGTGGCCATCTGATCACAGGTAGAGAGGCTTAGCCTGCTAAACCACACACAGCAGACTGACCAATAAGACGGACTACAAACCACCACGTGTTTAGAGTAAGGCTTAGCCTGCTGAACCACACACAGCAGACTGACCAAGACTGACTACAGACCACCACGTGTTTAGAGTAAGGAATCTAGCCCCAAAGGAAACAGTGCTGGGCCCATTAGTGTTTAATTCATATATATCTGTTTATTTAAAATATCATTAGAAATCATGGTGTTAGTTTCCACTGTTATGCTGATGATACATAGTTATATGTATCTGTCAAAACAGATGATGTATCCCCCTTCTCAGGGTTAGAAGACAGGGAGGCATTTGGTGCTGGATGGCTAAAAATTTCCTTATGCTAAACACATAGGGCCGGTTTCCCGAACTAGGATTAAGACTAGTCTTGGACTAAATTGCCATTTCAATGGAAATTCACCATTGTAACTCAAAGCTAGTCTAGGCTTAGGCTTAATCCTTGACTGGGAAACTGGCCAATAGAGGAAAGTGCTGCTAGTAAGCCTGCTCGAACTCAGACTGGCAACCGAAACCTCGGTGGTCTTCCTGTTCAGCTACACAAAGTGCTCGGAGATCTTGGTGTTATTGCAGACTATAAAAAAGCAATGCAACATTATTTCACTAATAAGCTGGCAAGTTGTTTCACTGTCCAGCATTGGAGATAATTAAATAAAACTAAATTGGATATAGATTGAATTTTCTGGGTATGCGGAAGGTTTGGACGTGACTGGCCATCCCACTTTTGCTGACGTTACAGTTCCAAATTCTGAGACCAGCTTTTCTGTGGTGCTGCATTTTCTGGCCTAGGACCAGCTTTTTGCAGTGGAAACACGCCGAATCAGTTCCAGTTTGGGAAAAAGCCTGGCACTGGTTCCGCGTTCGTGGAAACAAGGCATCGGATACATGTTTTGATGCCCACATATGAACTATTACTATAACTGTGTTATACCATTTATGGATCATAGCCAAGATTCAGAAGATTCTCTCCTTCAATGATGCAGAAAAAGTAATACATGCCTTTATAATTTCCAGGCTGGACAATTATAATGCCCTCCTTTCTGATTGCCCATCTAGCTCCATAAATAGGAAATGCGTATTGTGACGCCCAAAAGTTAGTAACCTGTATAAATTCAGCGCATCCTTATATTTATTAAATTCGGTTAGCACAAAGCCACATGCTACTGTTTTGGTAAATCATGGAAGCGATAAGCACTGAAGTGGCGGTGAAAAAAGGGACAGATCAGCAGCCACAACATCTTTAAAAGAAGAGATATTGTGGATAAACAAGATAAAAAGACTTCAGTGGTGTGGCGGTACTTTAGCAGTTTAAAGTCTGATACGTTTGTTAAACATATGGATATGCCTAATTTATACAGATTACAAAGTTTTAGGTGTCACAATACAAATCTCATTAATATTTTAGGTGAGGTACTAATTTGCTTACCAAATTGTGGGTGTAAGTAAAAGTCTGTATAGTACCAAAAAGCCGGTGTCCAGACAAATGTTTTACCCGTTATCTAAAGCCCTGGTGATTACTGTGCATGTGCCATATAATCACAGTCAGCACAACCCCAATTTATGCTGCCTTAGACAGAGCTTACATACTGCACTCACATAACTGTTTGCACTGCTTCTAGTCTCCTCTACTTTCACGAATGTACTTTTTGAGTCTGGTTCCACCCAAGGTTTCTTCCTTCTAGGGAGATTTTCCTTGCCACTGTCACCCCTGACTTGCTCTCTGGGGGCTTTGGGCAGGGATAATGTAAAGTGCTTTGAGAGAATGTAATGTTGTGAAAATGCGCTATACGAATAAAACCAAACACTCCACTGAGAGGAAATGCTTATCCGCTAGTGAGTGCTGGCGGTTTGTTGTCCACAGCAGCTTCAAGTGTCAGATCACCTTCTTCCTGAGCTTCCCCCGGATATGACAGAGCCTCTTCACACCATCAAAGCACATGGCCTCCAGCCGTCCATTACCCAACATCTTGATGACCTGTGCATATTCTAAGGAGGGACAGGACAATCGGGATTACCTCCTGCTCTGTATCACTGTGTAGGCAAATGCACTGAAGGTGTGGCTTTCCTCACCTTGTCCATCCTCCTTGAAGACCAGCTCTCTCTTCTCAGACTCATTTTCGTTTTTACCACGTCTTCGGTTCTTACCTCCCTTACCTGCATGGAGAAGGGAAAAGAGCAATGAGAAAACCTGACAATCCCAATTCAGACTCACCACACGAGTGGAAAACCTTTAATAGTAACAAGACACCTTACGGCCTATGTCACACACAGACAGTAGTAAAGCAGACTAATGCCAGGTTATTTTCCCGAGTTAATTTTTCTGCTTTCACTTATATGACACTCCAGCTGTTCCTGGGTCGGAGCATTATTATCTTGTAGTGACTGTCCTGTCCACACTCCAACGCGGGTTTTCTTAACAAACCACTCTCTAATGAGAAGCATAACAAATGCAGAGCCAGCTCAGAGCGACGGGCGGCACCCGATCCATCGGGCCGTGTATGACAAGGCCTTCTAGGCAACCAGCCGAACCTAAACACACACACTTATCTATCAAGTCACCCGGTGAAAGTTATTTAAAAATGACATTGTCAAATGTACAAACTTGTGTCAGGCTAGCAGGCTAACTGGCTAAGTCCAAATTAAAATCAATCCCCAGGGCACGTTCTTCAACGCAGCTCGATTCCTGCCTTTTGGGATACGATGAAATATTAGCAGTCTTTAATTACCTTTATTCTTCGGCATATTTTAACTAGTATAGTAAACCTAGGTCCGTATTTATGTTAGTGGGATTGTCGTAAAAACAGAAGAGTAACGGCGCGTACGGCTCTCCTCACTCTCAGGAAACGGCGCACTCCGTCTTAGCACTATACGCATGCGCAAAAATGACGCTGCAACAAAACTTTATTTATATCCTCCCTATTGTTTAACGATGTAAACTTTATTTAAAGCTTATGTAGATATTGGCCTTTAAATATAACGTTACTTGTTCAGTTAAAAGATATTTTGAGCTTGTTAGAGCTATTCTTGTTGCTTTTGCAAAGTTCATTAAATGAATTTCACAGTACTCGACTTTTATCCTAAGCACGGGCAATATGTGGGTAGGTGACTATATTTTTTGGGATAAAACAAATGTACTAGGCTGGCCATTTCAAAGGTACTCTCCCCTCCTGCAAATTAAAAATAGTTGTTTCTTGAATGAATTATGTAATGTTATTGACGTTTTTGGATTGCTTTAAATGGCTGGCTGTTCAACGAAATTGATATTCAAAGTTTTGAGTACATTCATATAAATTTGGGTATTTTTATAAGATAATGACATGATGATACCTTTGTAATATTAATCTAATTTTAATTGCCAAGTTTAATATTTATAAATGTAGGCTTCATCCTAAATTTTATAGCTTTTGAAAATGACTGATTCATTAGAGTATTAGAGAAAATGCATGACAGTAATGTGAGAAATTGTGTTAAATTGTTTTTTCAAAGGGAAAATCGGCCTATCTTTGTATGTTATAGTTGCTGTTTGGTACAATGTGTTCAATATTAAATAGCCGAGTTTGTTCAATGCGCATCAATAAAAAAGATACTTGTACATTATTGTTTTTAGAAATTAGATTAATAGGTGTTTAAGAAACCTTGAGTCAGCAACGTGTTAAGAGGAAGTACGTTGTCTGATAAATATGGAAAATGTAATGTACGTATTGCAAAGGAAAAATAATTTGATAGATAATATTAAAACGTCATCTACAGAGCTCAAAATGTAAATTAAAATTCAGAATTCTGGACATCAGGTGGAAACCGGAGTACCAGCTAGGGGTTCTCCGTGTGTCGTGTGCGTTTTGATGACAGGCCCTTTTCACAATTACCTCAGGCAACTTTCCTTCTGACTCGAAGATTATCTTTATTTCCGGTCTAATATCTGTTAACAGCAGCCCATCTAGTAAGCATGGCACAGTCATCAAAGAGATGCTGCTGCTGTGTTCCTTGTTGTTCTAACAGCAAACAAATTTCGTATTTGAGTTTCCACGATTTTCCTGTGGCTAAACAAACATCCGTGCTCTTTGGGTGAGGGCGATCAAAAGAATGAGGGGCCAACTTTCAAAATTCTTCCTGGAAGCACCTACGTGTGTTGTCAGCACTTTGCCCTAGAGCAGGGTTATTCAACTCTTGGTCCTCGAGGTCCGAGCCCTGCTGGTTTTCCAGCCTTCCTTTACCTGTGAGCCAGGTGTGAAGCCTCTGACCAATCAGAATCTGTCATTATTAAACTAACTACCTGGGAGAACTGAAAACACGGCCTGGATTTGGAATCGAGGTCCAGATTTGAAGAGCCCTGCCCTAGAGGATATATGTTTACATCAGCCCATTGACGAATTCAGATTAAACAAGTACCAGTTCCGTCTAGATTCCACTGATTTATATACTGATTTATTAATATTATAATTAATAAAAAGTAATTGTATTTCCTTAAAATACATAAATAAAAATAAACAATGTGACCAGTGAATGTTTATTTTGCATTTGCTTTTCGATACAGTTTCTATACAAAGTATTGTGTTTTTTACCGCACTGTATAATATGAAACATTTGATGGGGAGCTCTGCTTGCTGGTGAAGTGGCAAAGGATAATGACTATGCTTGCCACCCTTGTCCAAGTAAGTATTACAGAATAAAACGTGTCAAGGAATTACATTAAGAATATCATTTATTGGTATTCAGTGCGACTGGACTTGCGTGTCTAATTTGGACCGTTTGGAAAATACGCCTGCAATCCGTTTAACATCTTCTACCAGTACTTGTAGCAGATGCACCAGAGACTCGGTGAACTCGATAAAGTATTGTTCTCAGTTTTACCTTGAGCTTTCCCGTATTCTGATGCTCCGGAGCGGCACTAGGGCAAACCGGAAATAAAGGTAAACTTGCCTCGAGTCAGAACGGAAATTTCTTGACGTCATGTGAAAGGGGCCTATGGGCAGGCAGCACACTGTCTCATTAAACGCGTCGTCATGGAAACGCGTCTTCCTCCATACGGCGGCGTTACGTAATCGACGTCACCGCGAGGCCGTGCGCGCTCCGAGCGCAAGCCGAGCGGTTCGTCACGGTTCTGCTAAGCGCGCTGATATGGTGAAGTGCTCCTGGATGAAATGTGAGTCTGATTTACGACACCCGGAGCGAGTTCGTGGAGTCCGCTTCATTCCACTCCCAAAGTCTCCCCAAGAGCTTCTGCTGCCCTGCAGCCGAGGAGGAGCGCAGCGTCGCGATAGGGACTCCAGTGTGCTTGTTTGTTCGAAGGTAAGATGGCAGCGGCCGAAATGGCAGGCCGCTGCCACAGATGTGCTGCGTTTTGCCGCGGGCTCTGAGGCCGCTTTATGCCCAGGATCTTAACTGCAGTTTTTCGGGTGATCAAGCTGTCCGGGGTCGGTCTGTAAAGGCGCGGGACGAACCGCCATCCTTTCCCCGGGCAAACGCCACATTTTTCGGCCTGTGATCCCTGCTGTGCTCTGGTTTCGGTGGATGTTTTAATTTGACACATTTTCTTCAGCGTTTGACAAACGGGGTGGCCACACCCGTTACCGGCGGACCGGTGCATTCAGCCTACTAGGAGAGCGGCAACACTGGAGGGGGCAGCTCTGTAATCGCGACCCAGAGTATTACGTCGGCAATGCATTAACTTTTACCTTAGATTAGAATAAGGCAAATATTGCATGTCATGAGACGTTGAACACCTTTATAAACACATTGTAAAAACATAAAATGAAATTGTGTGGCAGCTCTTATGTAGTTGGGTGACACATTCTGCATAGCAAAGGCAGATGTAATTATAAGATTGGTACAGTGAGAGGTAACATATAAATAAAATAACAAAATAATTGTAATATACTGAGTGAATTAAAATTAGAATGATTAAGATAAATGTAGCTGCAGTAGATGGGATAATTTGGAACTGTCAGTGCTGTTTCTGAGGCTCAGTGAACCCTAGCGGCAGTGAGGTGCACTGTGGGGGCGGGGTTATGGGGCTATGATTCTGGGGAAGAAGCTATTTTTCCGTCTGTTTGTTCATGCTTTATTTGCCTTGTAGTGCTCGCCAGGTGGTAAGGGAACAAGCAGACAGTGCCCAGGGTAAATTGTTTCCTTAATGATGTTGCTAGTCTTTGTTTCCAGTCAGCTGGCATAGACTCTGTCCAGGTTTAGGAGTTCGGACCCTATGTCCCCTGAGTCTCTTTCATCACTCACTGTAGATCCCTCCAGATCTTGGCTGGAGTTGCAGAGGCAGTTTGGTTTGTTTTAGTTAACTTAAGAGAAACACCCTCTGATGGGCATTTCTCACCAAATGGGAGGTATTTAGGGACCATGATGGTTCTTCTGTTATGCGGAATCCCAGGAGCTTCATGCATGTAACAGTAGGAAGTTTTTAATCTATTGCTTTAGGAACAAGGTCATTTAAGTCATATCAAGTAGTATCTAATTATATTTTCTCAATCTAATTCTGACTGGTCAGAATATATAGCTTAATGAAACCCTCTGTCTCTACACAAGTTTTCTTGTCTGGTCTGTTACATGTTCTTTGTGTCAGGCAGGGATTGAGACTGCACATTTTCATGCTGACAGACCCCTTTTTTGAAATCCACAGTTCAGTGTTGTTACAATACCAAAATTTCAAACTTTGATACAATATGAAGAAAGCTATTGAAATTCAGTACCATTTTCAAAATACAACACAGTATATAATGTAACTCAATAGAAATGTATTCGTTGAAGTTTTGTTAGCAATAAAAACTTTACAGTCTTTTGTAAACTCGTGTAACTATACAAACCTATGCATTACATTGCCAGTCAGAGCATAGTAATATTAAGTACAGCAGTAGCCCTTGTAGTTGTGCTCAGAGATATTAACGAGCGGTAAACTGTTAAAGTTAAATATTACTTTATATAATTATTACAGTGCACAATAGAGCAGATAAGCATTACTTTTACATGTATCTTTTGTCTCAAGGACAAACACTTAAAACAATTGCAGATCTCTAAAAGTTTGTGTCTGAATGATCAACACTACTTTGCAAGATCGTCTGGAGCCGAACACAACTCAAAGATGAAAATTATTGCATACTATTGTCTTAATGCACAAATGTTTATCTGACTACAAAAAATGTTTTAATCTGTAGAAAAAAGCTTCAACTGCAACCTACTAGTACAGATTAATATTTTATTAATTTAAAAGTAAGATTCTATATTGTCTTGCATGTCGGTCCTTTAAATGTTTAGTCATATTTATGTTGTTTTGCCCCTGTGTTGGTATTGTGAGGTGGTTAACCATCTTCATTTGACACAAAGCCATAGTATTCCCCGATACCAGTCCAGCTACGCTCTTTTTTTTAAGCATAGTAGTGAACATTCTGATGCCTTTGAACTTGGTCATCTTTGTGTGTGTGACACTGCACTCAGGTCTAGGCTTGCGCATTGGTAGCCTATGAGTCTCTGTGGTCAAAGTGAACCAGAAGTGCAGGCTGTAGAGTCGATATCATGTAAAATGAGTATTGAAACAGTTTTATACATGATGGATTCAATACTTGTGTGGCTTTGACATTGTTGTGAATGGTGGTTGTCTGTACAGCGTCTGTTTTGATTTGTCTGGGGGGATTTAATTTCAGTAATTTGTTCTCACACCTGTGTGCCTCTGCCTCTCTCTCCCCCCCCCCCTCGCAGAAGTTAAGTTTCTCACTGAAGCTCAGTCCAGGAAGCCGAAGACAATGGCTGCTGTCACCATCAAAGAGGAGCCCCTGGAAATCGACGTGAAACAAGCAGCAAGACTCCACGTTGACGGAGAGACTCAAACGTGTTGTGGAATTAAGCAGGAGGGCACTAGGCCCATGGAGAGCAGCACACAGCAGTCTGAAGAGGAGACGAGTCTGGTAGGCATCTGATCCTGCAGACCGGGAGAGTCTTTGGTTAAGCTAATGGTGGAACTGTAAAGTGACGATGTACAAATACTTCGTTAATGTACTCAAGTAGGTCTTTTCCAGATTTGTACTAAGGTTGGGTGATGTCTACCTAATTGGCTTATGACACTGTCTCCAAATATTATGATGGACGATGCCATGGGGGCAGGCGTTTGGTCGTCTTGTTAAAGGTGCTATAAATATTTGGATATTTTATTGTTTCTGTTTTTACACATATGAGCCCATCCTCCCCCAATCACTCAGTCATTACTTACTATTTCTCCGTATAGCCTGCTTTGAGTCTCAAATCGCGTATTTAAATTTGAGTGTCTAAGTGAATGTGTTTTTTTTTCTGAATAAAATGTGATTAGGAAGGCATTCTTTAATTTTCATTTAAACTAACATTTTGTTTGTCTTTCATGGAAATTATTAATCAGAAAAAAGAACTATTTGAAATCTCTGAAGTTCAGCCAAATAGTTAGACTAATGTTGGGTCACTTAAATGCCTTGAGGGAAATTAGAATTATAACAGCCAGGATTTGAAAAAATATCAGCAGGAGTTTTCTCTAGTCCATGCAGTATTAGTAATTCATTGATGAGTATTTTTCCTAAACATGAAATATTGTCAGTTATTGCTGCAGTGCGAGAAATTGCGAACAGCATTAATAATAATAAAACAATTAGGAATCGTTTAAGATGGATATAGCAGAAAACAGGGGAGTCTGCTCTATTGGTAAATTTTAATCATCAGTTTTGCAATAGAATTAAAGACTGACTCCCTAATTGACTGAGGCAGTTGCAAACCACATAGATTTAAAAATCATTTTTATGTGCACCAGCAGAGACACTGGAAATGTCACTGTGAACAGGAGGGGGAGCGGGGGATTGTGATGCTGGCTCACCATCACGGTGTCTGCCAGCCGCTGGTGATGGACAATGGCATCATCCATTGGCCCAAACCTAATTTGTACTTTTTACATTGTTTGTTTGTAATTTGTAAATTTTACATTGTTGCAACTTTTACTTTCACTTTGCTACATTTCTGAACCAAATAATGACATTCTAATCCAATATATTCTGCACAACTATCATTACCCAATTTAACAGAATATTTTCTAGTGCATGGAGCACACCTGCATTTTTTTTTTTTTTTTACTCTGAATCGAGATCGCAATGTTCTCTCATTGATTCTTCAGCAAAATATTTCTTTTTTTATAATTATTTTGCATGTTGTCTTTATGAAGATAGAACAAACAATAGAGACGCGCAGTATATTTGTTAATTGTCGTACGATAATTAAAGTTAAGGTTTCAAAGTTAGCAGCACTAGAACTACTACTGAGAAAATGGTAATGATTGCCCTGGATGACCATCTGTTTTCCACAGAGCAGGACGAAGCCGTTAGTCACCACTTATAAGAGGTGCAAGAGTACCAGCCTGCGAAATGTTTATAATTCATTATTTTCCACAAAATTAGATGTCAATCCTCTAACCTGTGCCAGTAAGCTTGGCGAGTTTCATCCCATACCCTGCCAGTTAGTCCCTAAGGGGTCAGCACGTTGTTCCACTTCCACATGGATCATTTTTGAAAACCTTTCACAGAAACTGGGATTGATTTTACATTGAGAGTTAGCTGCCAGTATTCATTTGAGTGAAATATTGCATTTCAGTTGGTGATTCATAAGGATGAATAATCACCTGTTCCAGGGCTCTCCTGTCCATACTGATGAAGTCACCTGTTGATTTGGTTGTATATTATGTGAAGGGCAGCCTAATGAAGTTCTTCTGTTTGAAAATGGCAGAACTCTGCATCTGAGAGTGAAGATGAAGCAGCTGAAGATGATCTTGGGGAAATGGCTGTGGTCACCATCAAGGAGGAGATGCTGGAGTCTGAATCGGAAGATTCTGAATCAGAAGCCGACCACCAGCTCAGCTGCGATTCGGACGACAGTTTCCAGTCGGATGTGATAACGGAGGCAGTGGAGACCAGCGAGACAGAGAGACACAGCAGCGTCGTTAAAATGACTCTTGATGGTGCCCAGCACGTTTACCAAGGAAACCGCTTGAAAAAGATGCAGTTCAAGGGCCCTCAGTCTGATAAGATACTGTGCGGCAAGAATGTTCACAAGCGGAATGAACTAACAGAGAGACTGTACATCTGCTCTGATTGTGGGAAAGATTTCTTTGGGGAGACGGAACTAAAATCTCACCAAAAAAGTCACAGACTCGGGAGTACAAAGAGAGACACTGACCCATTTGCCTTAAAAGCAGCTAGTAACTATCAAGTAACAAGTCAAGAAGTAAAGCTGCCATTCAGGTGCTCCCACTGTGACAAGGGCTTTGCCAGGAAGGGCCAGCTGAACCGGCACGAGTTCATTCACTCCGGACAGAAACCATTTAGCTGTTCCGATTGTGGCAAGTGTTTTGGCAACAAATGGCAACTCTCTGCACACCAGAAAATTCATACAGGCGAGAAGCCCTACAGTTGCACCTTTTGCGAAAAGTGTTTTATAAGGAAGGGTGAGCTCACGGTACATCTGAAACGACACACAGGAGACAAGCCCTTTAACTGTTCGTTCTGCGGAAAGGGCTTTACCACGAAGGGTGAGGTTAACATCCACCAGCGCCGTCACGTAGGGGAGAAGACCATAGGCTTGTCCCATCCGTCGAGTCTTGCAGCAAAGGCCCAATTTTCTTAGCAGTTTCCCATCAGCCTTTGTGTTTACAGGAAGGAGAAAAACATTTCGCTGCAGTGTTTCACTGAACGATCAGCCCATCAGGGACTGGCGTGTTAAAATCTGGACAAGTACCCTTTGGTCTCAAGATCATCAGTGTTTTTTTTTTTTTTTTATCTTCAGCCTGTTCAGCACCTGGTGGAATAATCACTCTGCACATCATGCAGTCGTCAGGATCGATACATTTGTGTGACGTCATAAAATGCTCATATGACCTTCACTTCTGCTCCCAGATCGCAGTGTGGAGCTGATCATGAGCCTGTGCACCATTACTGCTGCCCTCTGTCCTCCTCCATTGTAGTGCATGTCTTGTGTATAATATAGTGTGGTACCTGCATACAAAATGTAAGGGAATAAAGCCTTTGAATCAGCTTGTAATTTTTGTTGTTACAAGTGTAAGTGGGAAATGTCTGGGAAGCTGAGCCGTTAAAGTGGTAACATGGATAATTACATCTGTTGATCAAAATAACTTTCACTTTTAGTTAATACACTAAAATTGATGAGCTAATGCTAGTACTAGTTGACAGTGGTTTAACATGTTGAGTTTGTTAGGCATGGTCATTGAGTAAGGTTCTTACTCAGGGTAAAAGCTTCAGGCCAGACTTGAAGGATCTGTGCACATTTGAACACAACTTGACGGAACAGGACAGTGGCTGGCCAGCTGGGTGTTTCCCTGTGTTCTGTTTGTACTTTAACATGAAATGATACCGCAGACGGTATTGGCTCTAAATTTTAATAGGTTTTGAGTATTGAGATGTGAGGTTAAAGGCAAACTACATATGAATGCATGCAGGTAGCAGGGAGTCACTTTGCATGACTTCAGATATGTATAAAATTTAGGTTGTCTGGTCTATACCAATAGTAAACATCTTGTTATATTTTACTTGGAGAAAGTCTAATAAATGGTTTTAATATATATTTTCTTTTTGTTGCCATGATTTCTGGCTGGACCATCCCCAGACAGGTCAAGTTTGCCCATTAATATTGTATTTTCCAAATGTTGAGGTAATTATCAGTATTGTATGTAAAACACTGATATTAGGTTTGTAGGGCAAAGTTCAAGATTACATGCACAATAACTTAATGAATGCTTTTGTTCAAAATATCAAACTACAGAATTTCTTGTGAATGGACAGTGATTTGATGACGAATTTGCTGAATTGTGGTGCATCCCGGCTGAAATGTTGCTGCTCAGAGTGCCAAACGGGGGGGGGTCATCTAATTCGAAAACATTTTCAAAATTTCTGAAACAAGTATAATGAAATGGGTGAGGAATTAGGATGAGGGTTTCATACATTCTTTTTTGATTTATTTATATAAATGTAGGTCTCTTGCTGTAAGATTAAAAGAGCACAGCAGCTTGTCTGTGACAGCATTACATAGAATCAGAGCGCATTTCCAGGACTCTAAGACACAACATTAAGGATGTTGGACCAGAAAACTCTTCCCCTGGATGGGTTACTGCCTCACAGGTCGGGACAGCGCACTTCCCAAGGCCGTAAGGATCATGAAAGACACCAATAAGCCATGCAGACCAACACAGGAAATCAAATTCTGCATATTCACATTTATATAAAATAGATGGGAGATTTTAAACTCAAACGGACAGAATCCCTTATTTTCCCTCATCGTGGTTTTACTTGTAGGAGGGCAAATCAGCTGTATTTCTTCAGCTTAAGTATCAGGGTGCTGTGGAGGACAAGGGGTTTGCACAGAGGGACCTTAGAGCAAGTGGCGGGATGTGGACAAACGCTGAAGCTGAGTATGAGGTACTTTGTGGACTTGGAGGAAACGGCTCCGCTGTGGCTGGCAGGATTTCCACATGGCCACCTTTAGGGGGCAGCGGCGAGCCAAGAGGAGCAGGGTGCTGGACAGCCGGGTCAGCGCTCTGGCATCTGCAGCATAGTGAGCTGGGGAGAACAGCCCTGTCAGACCCACATCCCACTGAACCACATAGTGCATGTAGAGTCAGGGCAGAGTAGGAAGGAAGGGTGGTGGTTCATTAAACTCTCACTAATTGGCTGCTGAGAAGGGGAGAGGAGCTTGTAGACGCGCAATCAAGCTGAATATGACAAGAAAGGCCTCATATCCTGTTTACTACAAACCTAAAAAAAAATCCATTATATAACTTTACATTTACAGGTAAAGATCATTATTACAAAATAAATTTGTACTAGCACTGAGATGAGGCGAGCCGGCCGTGCTGCATTTGGTAGAGCTTGTCCTGATTGTCTGAGCAGAATTCTCCAGGATAGCGAGTACTTTCTCCATTCCACAGAACGCATCTTCACTCCCAAAGGCCCAGGACTGGGCCGACCTGAGCTAAAGCAGACCGCAGGCCCTTGTCCCATGGAAGGGGTCTAGGGTCACAGGGCAGTTGACGGCTGCTTTTTCACACCGCGGCGCTGAGCCAGTGTGGAGCAGCCCACGGGCTCCAGCACGGGGGGGACGTTCCTGTTGATCGCAGAGTATGTGGCAGCCATGGCACCCTGTCAGGAGAGATGAGCGTCGGTCACCATGGAAACGGCAACAGACGGCTGGCTTTGGGAGGCGGGAGGCTGCAGCTACCTTGACCAGATGCGGAGCGTCCTGCCTGTTGAGCTGGAACTTGGGCAGCTGGTCCCTGTAGATGATCCAGGGGTGCCTGAGAACCTGCGCCGCAGTCAGCCTCTGGTGGGGGTCCACGTGCAGCATCTTGGACACCAGGTCCTGAAGGCAGGGGGGGGGGCATGAGGATGCGCACATGGTGGACTGACATGTAACATTTAACAGGAACTCCAGGAGTCTGATGTACTGAGTGGTTAATGGCAGTTTGAAGCAGGACAGCTGCGTGTACATGTGATTAT